AGTGCAAGGCAGTACGTTTACTAGCGATGGCCAGGGCGTTTGACTGTGTGGGCTACATGGCCTTTTGTCACAGAAACTAAAACAGCCTCCCGCTCAGTCCTTATATACTAAACTGGTATATATCTCAGCTTTCTAAAGCGCAGACAGGGTTGGTGTGGTGAGTGGAAAGTAGATATAAGGGTACCACCCAGGGGAGTTACAATGGCCCGCAATTTACTTGACATTTTTCTTAATGACCTTGAGGCAGACCTCTTAGATGACCCGATACTAACTATTTACGCAGATGATTCTTAAAATATAATATCACCTGTGTGCGTCTGATAGATCTGAGGCACAAGTTAAGCAGTTTATGGAGTGGTCCAGCAATAACGGTATGTACTCCTGCAATCCAAGTAAATGCAAAGCCAATGTTTTTAGTATAGGAAGAATGTCTATTTTTCCTGTCGTGTCAGGTATTTCGCAAACCAGAGCGCTCTCCGTTCTTGGTGTTACCTTCCACGAAGATTGCCGATTTACTACACATGTACGCAATAAGCTAATTAAAGCTAACAAATTTCTTTTTATACTGAGATCAAGGAGGGTTTGCCTTAAGCAGGCAGAATTAGACTATCTGTTTCAAAGTCTAGTTATCCCTAATTTGTCCTATGGTCTATCGGTCTACGGGGCCGGTCTGATGCAGAGCTTACGACTCGATCGGTACAGCGTTCCTGGACCGGTGTCACAAGCGGAGATATACATATCTATCTGAGGCAGCTCAACATCTATGGTTATTTAGAATAACAAGGTAGGAAAAACATCAAGAGAAACATCCAATGAGAAGCCTTATGCCTAAGCTGAAGCTCACAGAAATTAAGCACGCGGATTAGATCATTATTAGTAGCCTGTTGGTAAGAACTGAAAAAGGGTTGGGTACTATTAGAAATATGCTACGGCGTGATAGGGTGTAATTCGGTGGGCATGTGACGTTCCAATGTTAGAGCTTTCAACAGAGTGTACGTGTTTCCCAGCTAAAAGTCGGCAGACTAAATATCTGATTCAAATTAGAAGTATGCGATGAGGAAAATTCAACAAATATAGCAATGAAATAATTCTAAAAAGCCAGTAACACTCTTAGATACGCAAAACAAATTATTAGAAGTTATGTGTAAGATAATTAACGAAACTTAACGAGTTCTTTATCAGGAAAGTGTAAGAATGTCAGTTTTCTCTACATATTTGAACCTCTATATATTTAGCGGCCACCCTCTATTGAGCGCGGCAAGTAATCAAAGTCCCGAAATAATTGAAGAAAAGAATGAAAACTTAAACCTCTATTAACCGGTTGCGGCCACATTTTGGCCATCCCAACGAGATTTCTCCCATTGTTGTCACCTCCATCCATTAAGCGGTCATCAAGCGCTTGATACACTTAGTTTGACTTCATGTTTGATGAATATGATGAAGGAAAACAGTCCAAGATAGAAGTTGACGACCGATTATGGACCAGTAATGTGTTTGTTTCAAAATAAAGTGATGTTTCTGCTACAGATTATGCCATGTTGACTAATCTCAGTGTAATCTATGTCGTACCTCTATTGAACGGCAAACCTCAAACGGCCACATGCAGGTACTCCGAGGGTGGCCACTTATGGCAGTTTCAACTGGCTGTAATTTCCACCTTCTACCCGTTTTGTGATGGGCTACAACTCCGCTCTGTTTTGGGTTCTATCGGTGTCTTGTTTATGTCTTGCAAAGTTAATTTTCACGTAGTACGATCAGCTTTGCAGATCTATGTTTTACTCCTAGAAAGCTAGGTTTAGCTGTTTGGTATGCACCCTACAACCCTTAACCTATTTGCGGTCAAAATACGCGATTTTCCTTAATCTTTTCTTTAAGCAGCTAAGTCTCTCTCTGTCTTGGCCGGTTTCCGGTAGGAAGCTCAAGGGAACAGGAATGGTTTTTCAGGTCGCTTAGAAGTTTTAAATAACGCTATGAACTTCAAAGGGCGGAAAATTCAAACTTTTATGATTTGTTTAATCCATTTTTCAACTTCCGATCGCGACTCGCGCTACATGTGGTCGATCGATCCCATAGTGACATCCAATCAGAGCTGCAGATTTCGTACTAGACGTTTTGGGTTTAATCTACAGCCTAACCGTTCAATAGAAAGATGGCTCCATATATTTAAGAAAGTCGCTAAAGAAACGCACCCCAGTCAAGAAGACAGAATTCAACGTAGGAAATTTAACTTATCTTTCCGGAAATTTCAGTTTTAACGGAATGTTATTTTCTTTGTTTTTCCTCTTAGAGATTTGAGGAAAAGTTTTGCGTAAAAAAATAATAGAGTTATCGTTTTGCACGCTTCACCCGGGGGATGTGATTAACTCCAACGTGGTCGAAAGGGTCGAGAAGCTGCTTCCTCACAAGTCCGCAACAGCAATTGCTTGATCGTTGGGTTTGTATTTTGTGTTTTAAAATCTGATAGATTCGACGTTTGACAATTGAATCAGTTAAACTCGATTTTGTTTGACCAAGCAAACAGCGATCTCCTTCTCACCTTATGGTGGATTCAGTGTGCCGTGAAGGTTAGCAGATTGTCGCACTCGACGTCGAATTGCATAAGTTTGTTGTCAATTCCAGCCTTTCCGTTCCGGGGGGGGAGTACTTACTTATATAAGCCATATATATGTATGTGCCGCCCCATCGGGTAGGGTTTTAGCGCCGTTTTGGTCTGAAAATGGGTGTACACTTTGCCCATTTTGGTCTGGAATCGAGTATGGTTTTTGAGGGAACTACGGAGTGTATAAACGTATTTATCGTTACAATTCCAAATGAGTAAGAAAGAAAGAGAACAATGCGGATTCTGTTGATAGATTTGAATAATTGTTGTTTTTGCTCCCTAATCTCTAAGTAATGATAACATAATTTCTGCCTAAAGGCCAGGTCTGAAAACGGGTATGGATTTTAGAGGTCTAGTCTGAAAACGGGTGTGGATAATTACCTTTTTTTGGTCTGAAATCGGGTCAGGGTTTCAAGAACTGTGCGGCACACCCACACCAAGAATTCCAAGGAGTACCCCCCCCCCCGGGCTATCAGTTTCCTTCACTATTTTTAACCTTTCAATACCACATAAAAAAAGCCATAACAAGATTTAGCAAGTGGATTTGTTGATAATCATTCATCTTTTGGAAGACTGTCGTTGCGACTAGTGCTAGTGATCCCTCTTCATGTGGATTTCAAACGTGTTTTATTAAAAACATTTTTCATCCACTTAAATCTGGATGCTCAGAATGAAAAGAGTACTCCTGGGTAAAGAATGTTGCAAAATTTTGCTTAAAATAACAATTACAAATGACTTAAGGAAAGCCTGAGTATGATAAGAAGCAGGTGGGATTATTTAGACTATTTTTAAATATTCACGTCTAAATAATTCCACTCCAGGGTCTTCGTGACTACGTAGCAGGAAGGCCGGACGGGGAGAACGTAAATTACGGCTACTTTAATATAGATCTTGTCCTCTATAAATTAATAATATAAAAAATAATACGTTGCCTAAACGTTTGACAAAGTCTATTTGGTTGTGTTCTCGTGTGCCTCCGGGACACGGCTTTCCGGTGAAAGATGCAAGACCACCCAAAATTTAGAATATTAACTGGATATCTCGTTATTTTTTCAGCTTAGTTTTTCTTTACATTCCAGGACCTAAAACCTCACTGTATTTACGTAAGTGAAGACTAAACCTTTGCAAACTGTCTCAACAATCCGTGGTAGTCAACTCAATATGTACTGCATTTTCCGTGATCGTGAAACAATGCGGAAAGATTACCATTTTTTTTTTTTTACTCGCTGTTTTTGTTTTGAAAACACGCGCAAGTCAGGGCACGTGCAATCTGAAAAAAAAGGTTCGTACTTTAAGCTACGCAAGAATGGTATTAAGCGGGTCAAAAGTCGCTTGTATAAAGATAAGAGTTTTTAACATACTTGATTACACACCGCGTATAGCTAAAACAAATATGAAACAATTCCATTTGATAACCAAATTCGTATTTGTTCCCTTTGTTTGTTCTTTTATTTACGACTTTTATTTTCTTTTTCCTAGCTTTCGCTTTCACTTTTAAGCTCTACAAGGATGCCTGGTTACAAAAGAACACAATGCACCGAAAAGTCTTCCTCGCCTACTTATCATTCCTAGCAGACTACGTAACAGAGAGCAGAAGCCGTTTGAACTAGACTCTGCGTCATATATTTTATTTAAACGCGCAGGTACTTCAAAGCTAGATTCTTTCACGCAAAATGTTTCATGGGTTTCATTCTTTTAAAAGGAATGTCAACAATATGGGAGGTCTAACATGTTTCCTCATCGCCCAATGTATATTTTGACTTTTGACTTTACCATCGTCGGAGTTCGACATACGGCTGAATTTAGGCTTGGGACTGTTCAGGCAGTGAATGTTTCCAATATTCCTTTTTCCTTGTAGTGACAAATTCCTTCTCACATCTAAGCTTTTTGCAGTTGGTTTTCCCTTTCCCTAGTCACGAAAGCTCTCACCATGAGACCGATTAGCAGTTCCGGTGCCTGGGATCCCAATAGGAAGTCAAATAGAAACAGCCTTGATTGGCGCTAAAAATATTAACAGCACGAGATGTTTCGAGAATCATCCAGTAACAGAGATCTGCTCACTAGGCATCAACACCTCTTCTCACACAGAAGTCTCCACCTCTCACGTTACTATCTGTTGAATGTTACACGAGCTCTTCTATCCGCTTGGTGCCATCGTCACGTCGATAGTAGCGTGATAATCGATGTCCACCTGTCGAGGGGGCAGCTACGTCACCTTATCTGTTAGTCAGAATTAGCATCCGCTGGAATTTCGCGCCCTAAATAAGTGTTTTGGCGCCTTCGCTAGTATCGGTATGTTTTAACTGTGGCGCGGAGCGTACTACTGAAAAACTGTTGGTTTGAACTTGTAAACAAAGCCCAATCTTACTGAAAAGGGCTGACAAGTGGTGTTACGTTCACCATGCCTTATAAAATTCATCCATCTCGACGAACATGGACACTGGAAGAAACAAAAATTCCACAAAGAGCATGGACGTTGGAGGAAACGCAAATACCGCACAGGCCCAACTCGGCGCGCCGTGCACCGCCAAGGAGGGACATCCGAGGCGCTTTGCTAGTAAACCCATCTTTTCAACGATCTAACGAACCAGTTCTCGAAGAGAATATGGAACCGCAGATGATGGAGGCTCCCATGCCCAGAGCACCTTCCGGCCATCACCGAGTTGCTATAAAGAGAGAGAATATAAACTTGGTACGGGAGTGTGAATGGGATGTAAAAAGCCTTAAGGATGAAAATGATGGCAGGATAAAAACAACCCTCAGCAAACCTCTAACTCTGATCTTGGGTTTTGTGTGCCTGACTTCGCTTGCTTCTCTTCTTCTTACACTACTCGTTGTTTTTGGGTCTGTTGGGACAGGAAATTGCCCGTGTGCAAGAAACAAAGGTAAGAATCACGAATGCTCAATACTGAGCAGACACAACCTAAAAACCAAATCACCGCCCACAGCTAGAAAATTGAAAGATCATCAGAAAGCTAGGGGCGTTCATATTCTAAACCGTTTTTTTTTTTTTTTTCTTATTTGGCTTAATTAAAGTATTGCTCTTTTTTCAGTTATAATGGTAAGTTACTGTTAAACATGCAGTTAAAGAAGAACTCGATGTCGTAGTAATTACAAGGATTTAGCATCAGGAACTGTTTAACTGTCTGATTAACGTAACTGGAATAACATGGCTGTGTCTACACTCAGAGGCGGGCACACCCACCGACGCACCCAAAATAAAACGACCGAAACCACCAAACTCAACTGAGCTTAAAAGATGTTTATTGTAGTTAATACCTGACAGCTTTATCTGACTGCCTGTTGAATGTTAACTATATAATGCTCTGAATTGGTTTAAGTAAGTCATTAGCGGAAATTGAAGAGCCGGACGGCTAAAACAGCAGTTGTTAGATAGTAGTGTCTCTTTAATTTTGTGTCTTATGGATCAAGCTGAATTGCAAAGGTACGGTGGCCCACAACTGTCACGGCAAAACCGAAAACCTCACGGCAAAACCAGAGACCTCACGGCAAAACCAACTACTTCACAGCAAAAACCAAAGCTATTCTGTTTTTGCTGTGAAGTATTTGGTTTTGCCGTGAGGTTTTTGGTTTTGCCGTGAGGTATTTTGTTCTGTTCTGGAAGAGTTACGTTAATTATTTGGTTTTGCAGTGAGGTATTTTGTTTTTGCCTTGAGGTTTTTGGTTTTGCCGTGAGGTATTTTGTTTTTGCCGTGAGGTTTTTGGTTTTGCCGTGACAGTTGTGGGCTACCATACAAAGGAACAACGCCTAATTAGATCGTATTAGGATCAGCGTTTATTAACCTTTATTTCCCCAGATAATAGGTGAAGGAAAAACTGCAATCTTTTATTGCCAACGAGTCACCCTCGCGAGGACGCGAGGGTGACGAGGCGGCAGCATCATAAATCCGACGCGCGAGTTAGTTTTGGTACAGGGAGAAAAAATCTCGAATCAAAATGTAAGCATAAGGTAATGTAAGAGTGACATCATCGGTCATTGTTTTCGAGCTAGCCAATGGCATCGTGGTATTTTTTAATCTAAACCAATCACATCAGGACGATCATGACCGGTGACCACATGACCAACATCAGATGACCACATTAACCTCGTGGGCATTTTCTGGTGTATCCCGGCATCTCCTGTTCGTGTTGGGCATCGTGCGACTTGCGAGGTGATCAATTACCAGGCAGGAAAAGGTGAGTGGAAATATTGATTTTATTCACTCGTGAGCGTTGTCTTCTTGGGTGCATTTTAATTAAGTGTTTTTGGATCCGGGGTCGCAAATCTAGCAACTAGCAGACTGAAAAATCGCCCAGCGAGGCTAAAATCGCCCAGCGAGGCAGTTATCGAGAGCAGCTCGAAAACGGCGAGTGACAGTGTCACAGTCACGGCGAGCTTGCCAAAACAGTCAATTGTCTTGACCAGATCGGCCAGCGTGCCATTTAAGAAAAAAAAAACAAAACCACTTGAATATATTCACTATAAACTCAATCAGAGGGCGTATAAAGCCTCTTTTTATCGAGCTAGTGTGCTCAGTGCTCAAAATTACAAATTTTGATCGACCAACGAGACACGAGTCACATGGCGTGTCGCTGTTAGTTGTGCGCTTTTTTCTGCTTATCCATTAGCGTGTCCGAAAGTGAAAAACAGTCTAAGCTCTGTTTGCCGGGAAGCCACTATCAGTCAAGCTTGAGGGAGCTTAGCAAATCAGTTTGGATAGTTTTTTTATTCCAAAATTGTAGGGTGCTTAGCTTCGTTTGAAATCAGAACTGCTCAGGTCCAAAGTACACTTGCTGAAGCGCGTGCACTGAAGTAACAGCTCACGAGAATTTATGATGCTTCGTCTATTGTGTGTGTTATTAGTCGTAAGTCATTATCAGGGCCATAGTGGTGAGACTAATTTCAATTTTCCACGTGGATATCAAAATGTAACCATTTTCAGATTCCGAGGAAGATATTTGTCTAGACGTATACCTTATCCTTCTAATGGTAGTTTTAATCCCTTTGCAATTTCTAATAAAGAAGCACACATATTAAATGGAAACATAAATAACTTGGAAGCTGCAAAAATGTGTGAGGAAAACAGCTATTCATTTGGTAGAGATCACTTCAGTAATTATTGTTTAAACAATGCAGGTAAATTTTCCTGTGCAGTTGATTGTTTTCTCGAGCTGTGTTATGGTGTTTTTGTAATCATCTTCATAGCACTACACGAAATGAGTTTTTGACGTTATCTATGAGTCATGTAATCAAAGAGAAAACCTTGGGGCTATTGACATTGTGCGAGAACCTGTGTGGTTATGGCTCAGAGATCATTGTTCATCATTTTCTGCAATGACTGCCAATGCTGTTTTTAGTGACATATTTACATTGAATACTGTCGGAGAGTTAAGTGAGGACCTCAAGTCATTGTTTGTTGTTCAGCAATGCAATCAGTCGTGTTGCGCATCATGTGGCAACCAAATCATATATAAGACAGGTATATTTGTTCTTTACATTACCTGCCCAAATATCATTTCCACGCAATTTGCAAATCATGTTTCAGAAGCTGTTCTTCCTCACAGTAGGGCTCTTTATTGTGAATCTTGCCAAAAACACAGTGGTGATGTTTCTGCATTGCGACATTTTGTAACACTTCCCACATTTTTAACTATTGAATTGTCATCCAATTGTATTGATCAAATTACATTTCCTTTAACTATGGACGTTTTAGAAAATTATTATTCACTGAAAGCTGTTGTGCGTTCTGCAAGTCAACATTTTACTATCGCTATAAATAAAGGAACACATTGGTTGTATTTTGATGATATCTGCAGATCAATTCAGCAATATTCCACTTTTCAAAACCTCTTGATTGCCCATGCCAATGGCTGGTATTTTGCTGTCTATGAAAAGTCTGCCATTCCATTCATTGATAGCGGTAATGCACATGCAGCTGTGAACCAATCTAAGTACACCCAAGAATACCTCACAGGACATTCAGTGCCAAAAGTACTCATTAATGATACTTTAACAGTGCCATCAAACAAACACATTGCACAAGCAAAACAAAATGCATACATGAAAGAATATCGAAAGAAAAGAAAAAGTAATGAAACTGCAGAAGAACAACTTGCAAAAAAAAAACAAAAGCAAAATGCTTACATGAAAGAGTACAGAAGGAGAAAGAAAAATAATGAATCTCAAAGTGAGACGCTTGCTAGACAAGGAAAGCAAAATATATACATGAGGGAATACAACAGGAGAAAGAAAAACATTGAAACTGATACCAAAAAAAATTTGCAACGGAAGAAAAACAAAATACAAACATGAAGGAAAATCATGAAAAAGTGAAAAAACAACTTGGCCTAAAACAGAAGAAAAATGCTTACATGAAAGAGTACAGAAGGAGAAAGAAAAACAATGAATTTCATAGTGAGAAACTTACTACACGACGAAAGCAAAATATATACATGAAGGAATACAACAACAGAAAGAAAGACGTTGCAACTGGTAGCAAAACAATTTCAAGAGAAGAAGAACAAAATACAGTAATGAAAGAAGATCATGCAAAAAGTGTTCATGGTGATTTTAAAATGCAAGCAAAACTTATTAGAGAAGAAAAACAAAATACAGACATCATGGAAAATCATGCAAAAAGTGTTAACAGTGATTTTAAAATGCAAGCAGATCAAAATGTATTTAAATGTTTTGTGGAGAAGGAAAAATATTTGTCTTTGTTTGATAGTCAAACAAATGGACCAATTCATTTACAGGAATGGGCTAAAAAAAACATGCGAGATTTCCATAATTCTTTGAAATTCAAAATCTATAAATGCAACATCTGCCATGAAGCATGGCCATTGTCAGAAAAATGTAAAGATGAATCTACATATGTGTGCTCTAGGTGTTTGCGTGACAAGAATGCAACAAAAAAGTTTTCAGTTGACAATAATATGATACCTTCACAAGCACCAAAAGAACTGCAGGGACTCACGCAATTAGAAGAAATGCTTATAGCACGTGTATTTCCAGTAATATCTGTTTATACAAAACCAGGGGGGCAAAAGGCATACAAAGGCCACTGTATTAATTTTTCCCAAGATATTCAAGAGCTAGCTAACTCATTGCCAAGGTATCCGAGGGAGCTGCCTGTGATAGTTGTGTCAGTCAAAGGCAAAGATAATACTTATAAAGATCTTACAGTAAGGCGGGAAAAAGTGAGCTGTGCTCTACACTGGTTAGTCCAGCATAACCCTGTATACAAAAATATTACTATAGATTATGACTGCTTGTCTTCCTTGCCATCTGAAGGCATCCCAAGTGAACTGCATCAGATTGATTGTATTGAGAATACTAAAGATAAGGAAATGGATCCAGACAGAGGTCCACTTGATGTCAATGAAATACCATTCAATGAAGAGACAGAATTAAGCAGCACAATCCTTAATCCAGTAACCTTAAAGCCTCAAAAGCAACTTATTACAGATCAGTTATTGCAAAAGCATAAATTAAATTGGCCACACAGAGACGCAAGCCCTCTGAATGAATTTAAGATCGAATTTCTAGCAACAATGGCATTTCCCACCCTATTTCCTGATGCTAAAGGAGACCCTACAAACACTGCTATAAAGCGGGGTGCAACTTTAGGAGAGAAAATAAAGCATCTAATTAAATTTGCTGAATATTCTAATGATGAGTGGACTTATAGGTTTGCAAGCCATCCACGATTTGCATATTGGGCTTTTAATATGATTCAGAGGCATAGACTTCTTAGTCAAGGGAGTATTTTTTTGAAACAAAACCCTAGCGATGCAAAACTAACTGTGGAACAACTTAAACAGATGCTTCAGTCAAATAATCATTCAACTTTAATGTCTAAACTTATGCATTATGCTAAAAATATAACTGGTAGCAATAGCTATTGGCACAAAGCAAAAGAGGATTTAAGGGCTACCGTTGCTCAAGTAGGACCTCCTACATTTTTTTTTTTTTACCTTGTCTTGTGCAGAGTACCATTGGCCAGAATTTCATAATCTTCTAAGTAATGACCACTGTGGAGATATCACACCAAAATTGAGACAGAAACATGTTATTGACAATCCACATCTCATTGACTGGTTTTTCACTGAGCGAACTGATCGGTTTGTGAAGTTTTGGCTGAATAAATCATTACAGGCATCTTGGTATTGGTACCGATATGAATATGCTGTTCAGAGGGGATCGATTCATTGTCACGGAGTTGCAAAATTGCAGAATGATCCAGGGCTTTGTGAACTTACAGCAGTTGCACTGCAGGGTTTTTGGCATCAAAATATATCAAAGAACACCAAGCAAATATATCAATTGAAGAACTACAAGAACTGAAAAATAAGGAGAAAAGGGGGGAAAATGCTGAGGCAACTGTTTGCCAATATGTCAATTTTTTATTAACGACATGGAATCCTTGTTCTCCAGATGAAGGTTGGTCCAAGCCAAATTCTCATCCATGTCAAACACCATATCTTTCCTTAAAAGAAGAGAAAATGGAAGATGACTATGTGAATCTATTGAATTCTGTTCAAAGGCATACGTTGTGTAGTACTAAGTATTGCCTTAGGGAAAAAGACGGTTGCGAATTATGCTGCAGGTTTAATTTTCCATTTGATAACTGTAAAAAAACAAGGATAGATTTTGAACCTGTCCATACAAAATCAGGTCAACCAAAGTATAAAGCAGTTATTGTTACTAAACGAAATGACTCAAGATTAAATCGTCATCAACCATTGCAGCTTCAAGGATGGAGGGCAAATTGTGATATCCAAATTATTGTGGATTACCAGGCATGTTTAGAATATCTTGTTAAGTACACATCCAAAGGGGAAAAAGCATCTTCCGTTGTTAATAATGCATTCACCACTATTGTTCAGAAGCTTTCAGACACAAGTGACATTCATAACACATTTAAGCAGATAATGATCAAATCTGTAGGACAAAGGGACTATTCAATTCAAGAGGTCATGCATCATTTACTCTCTCTTAAGTGTGTAAGTGCTACTTATGAAGTAATAAATGCATCTCTAGATGGCTCAAGAAGAATTCAAATTGTAAGAGATAAGGAATATTGTACTGCCCCATCCATGCTCGATATATATGCTGAGCGAAGGAAATACATGAAAACATTTCCAAGTATACTAGAATGCAACTTTGTACAGTTTACATCTACATATATTAATAAAGGTTCAAGACTAGAGAAAAGAAAACGACCAGTAATTGTTAAAACATATCCAAACTATTCATCAAATCCTCAAAATCAGCATTATGGGCTTTTTTGTAAATATCAACTACTTAAGTATAAACCTTGGGAGCATACACCAGATGATGCCTGGAGTAATGCTGAACACTGTAATGAAACATTCAAAACATGTTGGATGAATTTTCTCTGTAGTAACAATGGAAAGGCTGTAGTTCCTGACTGGGAAATCAAGTTACAAGCCTTAAAGGAATCTATTAAGCTAGAAACTGACAATTTTACAACAGAAAATGATGAAGAAGAGGAAAAGGAAGAATGGATGTTAATGTCTGAGTTGAATATTCAAAACATTACTAATGATGCACAAAGTTCTGTCTTAGCTCCTGAGGGATATTGGCACAATGTTACTGAACACTTTGATGAAGAGCAACTAAATTCTGTAGTATCTTGGTTAGCGAATCAAAAATCTATGAATAATCCTCAGTGGCAAATGCCAACAAGGATAGTAGATATTTCAAGCTTTAGTACAAACCAAAGATTGGCATACAACGTAGTTTGTGATCACTTTAACAGAAGTGACAAAGAACCTATACTTCTCCTAATTAAAGGTATTGCAGGGTCAGGGAAAAGCTATCTCATTGACGCCATTAGAAATGTACTCCAAACACAATGCAAGGTGCTAGCGTACACTGGAAAAGCATCTTTTAATGTGAATGGTGTAACTTTGCATTCATTTCTCAAATTGCCAATTGGCTCAAAAGACTCACTGAACTAAAAGGAATAGCACTACAACAGCTTCAAAGTAATGTAGAAAATCTTCGGTATTTGATAATAGATGAATACTCTTTGGTTGGTCAGAGTTTGCTTGGCTGGATAGATTCTAGATGCCGACAAGCTACAGGCCTGGCAAATCAGAGTTTTGGTGGTCTTTCGGTTATTGTTGTGGGTGATATAGCACAGTTACCCCCTGTTGGTGATAAACCACTTTACCATTCAATGCCCAAAACAGATAAGCAGATTCAGGGTCATCTCATGTATCAACAGTTTAACAAAGTAGTTGCATTGACAGTTAACCACAGAGTTGATGGTAACAGTAGTGAGCAGCACCTTTTAGGGATCTTCTTCTCAGAGCACGTAATGGTGAATCCACACCAGCTGATTGGCATACATTACTGTCAAGAACTCCAGACCGTGTATCAAATATCCAGGAATTTGAAATGTCATCAATAAGACTATCCTATCTCAAGTCTAGTGTTGCAGAGATAAACATAGCCAAGTTAAAAGCTCTTAATCAACCAATAGCAACTATAAAAGCTCGTCACTCTGGTGGTGCTCAGAACCTTAGCTCAGATGAAATGGGAGGCCTAGAGCCTGTGATTTACTTAGCAAAAGGAGCGAGAGTAATGCTCACTATGAACATCTGGACTGAAGTTGGACTTTGTAATGGAGCCCTAGGGACAGTATTAGATTTTGTTTATCCACATGACCAGACTCCCCGACGCTACCAATTTGTGTTCTTGTACAGTTTGACGACGATTATAATGGCCCTACTCTTTCTGCTAGATTTCCAAGATGTGTTCCAATTTGTCCAATAACACAGGTTTCTCAAAACCTAGGTCAAAAATGTGAAAGACAGCAATTACCCCTAAAGTTAGCATGGGCAATCACTATACACAAGAGTCAAGGTTTAACGCTAAAGAAAGCCTGGGTTGATCTTGGTCCTTCAGAAAAATCTTCAGGAATGACATATGTTGCACTAAGTAGAGTTAAGAAACTTGAAGACCTAATGGTAGAACCCATGACCCTGGATAGACTGCAAGCACCCAAAAAAAATGTGCAATTTAAATTACAGACTTAAAGAAGAAGAGCGGCTAGATGGTTTAGCCCAAGATACTTTGGACAGTTTATTGTAGAATCCTATTGCCCTAAATATATTAAACATCCAAACCAGATAAAACCACTTTTAACAATTAGAGTTTGATTAACCAGATGTGAGCCTTGATTCAAGATAATGTAAAGGATACAGATTTTAACTTGAAATAATGGCATAAATTGAGTGGAAAACTGCTACAATGTACATAACCTTTATTTAGAATTTTTATTTTTTGTTACAGATTCTTTGTGGAAAGAATGTCAAAGCGTGAGCCAGACCTTAACTCGGGTAAGTATTATGATTATGGGGGGGGGGAAGAACAGTAGATCAGAATGCAAGGAAAATGGTGAATAGGTACTAAACACAGAGACTACAGTGATTTGTTGCCTATTTAACATGAATCTTTTGATTTTTTCCTTAGAATCACTCTGTGGCTTTATACATAATTTAAGCCCTGTAAAACGCTCAAAGAGAACGGATTGGTTTGAGTTTCATCTGCAAACAAGTCCTTCCAAAGTACAGCGAGTAGTTGGATTTAATATCCCAAGCCACTCAACCTTCAGTGGACATAACAAATCAAAAACCCCTGTGCTGCTGTCAAATACTAAGAAGAATGATTCGAACAAGGACATTATCTTCAACCAACAGTCAATTGTAAGGTCTGCACCAGCGTTCGACATTGACTTTGATTATTCTCCAGACATTGCTGCATCTGAGTCATCCTCCTCTTCAGTGCAACCTGCTACTACGATCACTCTGGAACAGGTACCAACTCTAAAGATAAACCAGAAGGTCAACGTCACAGCAACGATTTCATTGGGCAGTGAACAACCTAAGCCGGTTGAAGTGAAATCCACACAAAAGATAACGCTCGTCAAAGAGGATTGTGTCTTAGAAGATGAGACAGGTACAGCTGAAATTCACATTTGGGATGAGCTCATCAACAACGTGAAAAATGGGACAACATATGAATTCCAAAACCTGAACGTCAAGCACTTCAAAGGAAGCACCCACTTAGCAACGACACCAGCAACTACCTTCAAGGAAGCCAGCAAACAACTTAAGTCTGTGCAAGGGCCTACACTACTGGAAAACCCAGAAAAAAAGAAGTTAAAGTCGAGATGTTCAAGTTTCTTAACAACCTAAGCATATTCGTTGCTTGTCAAGCTTGTAAGAGGAAGATAACAGAGAGTGCCCATCAGAAGTACATAAAATGCAGGAACTGCGGAGTAAAGGCAGCGTCAAGGCGAATGCAAGAGAGATGCATCTGTGCAAGTCAAAGTAGAAATAGCTGGAAAGGAAATATGGCTGACAGCGTTCACAAAAGAAATTGAAAGTCTTCTGGCTCTGTCTCCAGAGCTTTCCCTTATGAGTGACTCAGAATCTATTGAAGACCACCTTATGGACCTCAAGGATATCCACTTCACCTATAATGTGAACAAAAACACCATAACCCAGGTGACATCTCTTTCAAATGGACTGGCGCAATGACACTATGGAACGATTGATTAATGGGCTATCTTGGCATGAAACTACTTACTATGTAAACTACGTTCAAAGTTGCCTTCTAAAATCATGTTAAAACACGAACATGAAACATTTTAAAAAACAAAGAAATCATGTGAGATATGCATTTTTTATCTCTGTTACAAGTTCAGTTCTTAAAGACATTTCAAAAAACAAGGATTTGCATTTGGAATCTACTTTACAAGTTTCGTTTTTAAAAACATTCTAAAGGACGAAGAAAAGCATCTCAGATTTGCATTTGTAATTTACGTTACAAGTTTTGGTATTAAAGACATTTGACACATTTCAATTCATGCTCATTTGTCTCAGGTAATGCAAGGGCTACATATATTTCAGCTCTAATCTGCCTTACAAGTTTAGTTCTTACGGACATTCTAAACAACAAAGAATAGCATGTGCGTTTTGCAATGCTTTTTTAAACAATCATTCAATTTGAAAAAAATGTTCTGTAGTCTGGTTACTTCTTCATTTTCATTCGGCAAGCAACTGTCGCCGTTTTTACTCGTTGGCACTCTAGCGCCAGCTATTTCTAGTTTATAAAATAACAAAAAAATAAGGAACATGATTTCCGAGATGGTTTATTTCAATGGCCGCACCGTAGGGTTTACCCTCGGTCTTAAAAAATTAGCACTAGTAATTATTGCCAACGAGTCACCCTCGCGAGGACGCGAGGGTGACGAGGCGGCAGCATCATAAATCCGACGCGCGAGTTAGTTTTGGTACAGGGAGAAAAAATCTCGAATCAAAATGTAAGCATAAGGTAATGTAAGAGTGACATCATCGGTCATTGTTTTCGAGCTAGCCAATGGCATCGTGGTATTTTTTAATCTAAACCAATCACATCAGGACGATCATGACCGGTGACCACATGACCAACATCAGATGACCACATTAACCTCGTGGGCATTTTCTGGTGTATCCCGGCATCTCCTGTTCGTGTTGGGCATCGTGCGACTTGCGAGGTGATCAATTACCAGGCAGGAAAAGGTGAGTGGAAATATTGATTTTATTCACTCGTGAGCGTTGTCTTCTTGGGTGCATTTTAATTAAGTGTTTTTGGATCCGGGGTCGCAAATCTAGCAACTAGCAGACTGAAAAATCGCCCAGCGAGGCTAAAATCGCCCAGCGAGGCAGTTATCGAGAGCAGCTCGAAAACGGCGAGTGACAGTGTCACAGTCACGGCGAGCTTGCCAAAACAGTCAATTGTCTTGACCAGATCGGCCAGCGTGCCATTTAAGAAACAAAAACAAAACCACTTGAATATATTCACTATAAACTCAATCAGAGGGCGTATAAAGCCTCTTTTTATCGAGCTAGTGTGCTCAGTGCTCAAAATTACAAATTTTGATCGACCAACGAGACACGAGTCACATGGCGTGTCGCTGTTAGTTGTGCGCTTTTTTCTGCTTATCCATTAGCGTGTCCGAAAGTGAAAAACAGTCTAAGCTCTGTTTGCCGGGAAGCCACTATCAGTCAAGCTTGAGGGAGCTTAGCAAATCAGTTTGGATAGTTTTTTTATTCCAAAATTGTAGGGTGCTTAGCTTCGTTTGAAATCAGAACTGCTCAGGTCCAAAGTACACTTGCTGAAGCGCGTGCACTGAAGTAACAGCTCACGAGAATTTATGATGCTTCGTCTATTGTGTGTGTTATTAGTCGTAAGTCATTATCAGGGCCATAGTGGTGAGACTAATTTCAATTTTCCACGTGGATATCAAAATGTAACCATTTTCAGATTCCGAGGAAGATATTTGTCTAGACGTATACCTTATCCTTCTAATGGTAGTTTTAATCCCTTTGCAATTTCTAATAAAGAAGCACACATATTAAATGGAAACATAAATAACTTGGAAGCTGCAAAAATGTGTGAGGAAAACAGCTATTCATTTGGTAGAGATCACTTCAGTAATTATTGTTTAAACAATGCAGGTAAATTTTCCTGTGCAGTTGATTGTTTTCTCGAGCTGTGTTATGGTGTTTTTGTAATCATCTTCATAGCACTACACGAAATGAGTTTTTTGACGTTATCTATGAGTCATGTAATCAAAGAGAAAACCTTGGGGCTATTGACATTGTGCGAGAACCTGTGTGGTTATGGCTCAGAGATCATTGTTCATCATTTTCTGCAATGACTGCCAATGCTGTTTTTAGTGACATATTTACATTGAATACTGTCGGAGAGTTAAGTGAGGACCTCAAGTCATTGTTTGTTGTTCAGCAATGCAATCAGTCGTGTTGCGCATCATGTGGCAACCAAATCATATATAAGACAGGTATATTTGTTCTTTACATTACCTGCCCAAATATCATTTCCACGCAATTTGCAAATCATGTTTCAGAAGCTGTTCTTCCTCACAGTAGGGCTCTTTATTGTGAATCTTGCCAAAAACACAGTGGTGATGTTTCTGCATTGCGACATTTTGTAACACTTCCCACATTTTTAACTATTGAATTGTCATCCAATTGTATTGATCAAATTACATTTCCTTTAACTATGGACGTTTTAGAAAATTATTATTCACTGAAAGCTGTTGTGCGTTCTGCAAGTCAACATTTTACTATCGCTATAAATAAAGGAACACATTGGTTGTATTTTGATGATATCTGCAGATCAATTCAGCAATATTCCACTTTTCAAAACCTCTTGATTGCCCATGCCAATGGCTGGTATTTTGCTGTCTATGAAAAGTCTGCCATTCCATTCATTGATAGCGGTAATGCACATGCAGCTGTGAACCAATCTAAGTACACCCAAGAATACCTCACAGGACATTCAGTGCCAAAAGTACTCATTAATGATACTTTAACAGTGCCATCAAACAAACACATTGCACAAGCAAAACAAAATGCATACATGAAAGAATATCGAAAGAAAAGAAAAAGTAATGAAACTGCAGAAGAACAACTTGCCAAAAAACAAAAGCAAAATGCTTACATGAAAGAGTACAGAAGGAGAAAGAAAAATAATGAATCTCAAAGTGAGACGCTTGCTAGACAAGGAAAGCAAAATATATACATGAGGGAATACAACAGGAGAAAGAAAAACATTGAAACTGATACCAAAAAATTTGCAACGGAAGAAAAACAAAATACAAACATGAAGGAAAATCATGAAAAAAGTGAAAAACAACTTGGCCTAAAACAGAAGAAAAATGCTTACATGAAAGAGTACAGAAGGAGAAAGAAAAACAATGAATTTCATAGTGAGAAACTTACTACACGACGAAAGCAAAATATATACATGAAGGAATACAACAACAGAAAGAAAGACGTTGCAACTGGTAGCAAAACAATTTCAAGAGAAGAAGAACAAAATACAGTAATGAAAGAAGATCATGCAAAAAGTGTTCATGGTGATTTTAAAATGCAAGCAAAACTTATTAGAGAAGAAAAACAAAATACAGACATCATGGAAAATCATGCAAAAAGTGTTAACAGTGATTTTAAAATGCAAGCAGATCAAAATGTATTTAAATGTTTTGTGGAGAAGGAAAAATATTTGTCTTTGTTTGATAGTCAAACAAATGGACCAATTCATTTACAGGAATGGGCTAAAAAAAACATGCGAGATTTCCATAATTCTTTGAAATTCAAAATCTATAAATGCAACATCTGCCATGAAGCATGGCCATTGTCAGAAAAATGTAAAGATGAATCTACATATGTGTGCTCTAGGTGTTTGCGTGACAAGAATGCAACAAAAAGTTTTCAGTTGACAATAATATGATACCTTCACAAGCACCAAAAGAACTGCAGGGACTCACGCAATTAGAAGAAATGCTTATAGCACGTGTATTTCCAGTAATATCTGTTTATACAAAACCAGGGGGCAAAAGGCATACAAAGGCCACTGTATTAATTTTTCCCAAGATATTCAAGAGCTAGCTAACTCATTGCCAAGGTATCCGAGGGAGCTGCCTGTGATAGTTGTGTCAGTCAAAGGCAAAGATAATACTTATAAAGATCTTACAGTAAGGCGGGGAAAAAGTGAGCTGTGCTCTACACTGGTTAGTCCAGCATAACCCTGTATACAAAAAATATTACTATAGATTATGACTGCTTGTCTTCCTTGCCATCTGAAGGCATCCCAAGTGAACTGCATCAGATTGATTGTATTGAGAATACTAAAGATAAGGAAATGGATCCAGACAGAGGTCCACTTGATGTCAATGAAATACCATTCAATGAAGAGACAGAATTAAGCAGCACAATCCTTAATCCAGTAACCTTAAAGCCTCAAAAGCAACTTATTACAGATCAGTTATTGCAAAAGCATAAATTAAATTGGCCACACAGAGACGCAAGCCCTCTGAATGAATTTAAGATCGAATTTCTAGCAACAATGGCATTTCCCACCCTATTTCCTGATGCTAAAGGAGACCCTACAAACACTGCTATAAAGCGGGGTGCAACTTTAGGAGAGAAAATAAAGCATCTAATTAAATTTGCTGAATATTCTAATGATGAGTGGACTTATAGGTTTGCAAGCCATCCACGATTTGCATATTGGGCTTTTAATATGATTCAGAGGCATAGACTTCTTAGTCAAGGGAGTATTTTTTTTGAAACAAAACCCTAGCGATGCAAAACTAACTGTGGAACAACTTAAACAGATGCTTCAGTCAAATAATCATTCAACTTTAATGTCTAAACTTATGCATTATGCTAAAAATATAACTGGTAGCAATAGCTATTGGCACAAAGCAAAAGAGGATTTAAGGGCTACCGTTGCTCAAGTAGGACCTCCTACAATTTTTTTTACCTTGTCTTGTGCAGAGTACCATTGGCCAGAATTTCATAATCTTCTAAGTAATGACCACTGTGGAGATATCACACCAAAATTGAGACAGAAACATGTTATTGACAATCCACATCTCATTGACTGGTTTTTCACTGAGCGAACTGATCGGTTTGTGAAGTTTTGGCTGAATAAATCATTACAGGCATCTTGGTATTGGTACCGATATGAATATGCTGTTCAGAGGGGATCGATTCATTGTCACGGAGTTGCAAAATTGCAGAATGATCCAGGGCTTTGTGAACTTACAGCAGTTGCACTGCAGGGTTTTTTGGCATCAAAATATATCAAAGAACACCAAGCAAATATATCAATTGAAGAACTACAAGAACTGAAAAATAAGGAGAAAAGGGGGGAAAATGCTGAGGCAACTGTTTGCCAATATGTCAATTTTTTATTAACGACATGGAATCCTTGTTCTCCAGATGAAGGTTGGTCCAAGCCAAATTCTCATCCATGTCAAACACCATATCTTTCCTTAAAAGAAGAGAAAATGGAAGATGACTATGTGAATCTATTGAATTCTGTTCAAAGGCATACGTTGTGTAGTACTAAGTATTGCCTTAGGGAAAAAGACGGTTGCGAATTATGCTGCAGGTTTAATTTTCCATTTGATAACTGTAAAAAAACAAGGATAGATTTTGAACCTGTCCATACAAAATCAGGTCAACCAAAGTATAAAGCAGTTATTGTTACTAAACGAAATGACTCGAGATTAAATCGTCATCAACCATTGCAGCTTCAAGGATGGAGGGCAAATTGTGATATCCAAATTATTGTGGATTACCAGGCATGTTTAGAATATCTTGTTAAGTACACATCCAAAGGGGAAAAAGCATCTTCCGTTGTTAATAATGCATTCACCACTATTGTTCAGAAGCTTTCAGACACAAGTGACATTCATAACACATTTAAGCAGATAATGATCAAATCTGTAGGACAAAGGGACTATTCAATTCAAGAGGTCATGCATCATTTACTCTCTCTTAAGTGTGTAAGTGCTACTTATGAAGTAATAAATGCATCTCTAGATGGCTCAAGAAGAATTCAAATTGTAAGAGATAAGGAATATTGTACTGCCCCATCCATGCTCGATATATATGCTGAGCGAAGGAAATACATGAAAACATTTCCAAGTATACTAGAATGCAACTTTGTACAGTTTACATCTACATATATTAATAAAGGTTCAAAACTAGAGAAAAGAAAACGACCAGTAATTGTTAAAACATATCCAAACTATTCATCAAATCCTCAAAATCAGCATTATGGGCTTTTTGTAAATATCAACTACTTAAGTATAAACCTTGGGAGCATACACCAGATGATGCCTGGAGTAATGCTGAACACTGTAATGAAACATTCAAAACATGTTGGATGAATTTTCTCTGTAGTAACAATGGAAAGGCTGTAGTTCCTGACTGGGAAATCAAGTTACAAGCCTTAAAGGAATCTATTAAGCTAGAAACTGACAATTTTACAACAGAAAATGATGAAGAAGAGGAAAAGGAAGAATGGATGTTAATGTCTGAGTTGAATATTCAAAACATTACTAATGATGCACAAAGTTCTGTCTTAGCTCCTGAGGGATATTGGCACAATGTTACTGAACACTTTGATGAAGAGCAACTAAATTCTGTAGTATCTTGGTTAGCGAATCAAAAATCTATGAATAATCCTCAGTGGCAAATGCCAACAAGGATAGTAGATATTTCAAGCTTTAGTACAAACCAAAGATTGGCATACAACGTAGTTTGTGATCACTTTAACAGAAGTGACAAAGAACCTATACTTCTCCTAATTAAAGGTATTGCAGGGTCAGGGAAAAGCTATCTCATTGACGCCATTAGAAATGTACTCCAAACACAATGCAAGGTGCTAGCGTACACTGGAAAAGCATCTTTTAATGTGAATGGTGTAACTTTGCATTCATTTCTCAAATTGCCAATTGGCTCAAAAAGACTCACTGAACTAAAAGGAATAGCACTACAACAGCTTCAAAGTAATGTAGAAAATCTTCGGTATTTGATAATAGATGAATACTCTTTGGTTGGTCAGAGTTTGCTTGGCTGGATAGATTCTAGATGCCGACAAGCTACAGGCCTGGCAAATCAGAGTTTTGGTGGTCTTTCAGTTATTATTGTGGGTGATATAGCACAGTTACCCCCTGTTGGTGATAAACCACTTTACCATTCAATGCCCAAAACAGATAAGCAGATTCAGGGTCATCTCATGTATCAACAGTTTAACAAAGTAGTTGCATTGACAGTTAACCACAGAGTTGATGGTAACAGTAGTGAGCAGCACCTTTTTAGGGATCTTCTTCTCAGAGCACGTAATGGTGAATCCACACCAGCTGATTGGCATACATTACTGTCAAGAACTCCAGACCGTGTATCAAATATCCAGGAATTTGAAATGTCATCAATAAGACTATCCTATCTCAAGTCTAGTGTTGCAGAGATAAACATAGCCAAGTTAAAAGCTCTTAATCAACCAATAGCAACTATAAAAGCTCGTCACTCTGGTGGTGCTCAGAACCTTAGCTCAGATGAAATGGGAGGCCTAGAGCCTGTGATTTACTTAGCAAAAGGAGCGAGAGTAATGCTCACTATGAACATCTGGACTGAAGTTGGACTTTGTAATGGAGCCCTAGGGACAGTATTAGATTTTGTTTATCCACATGACCAGACTCCCCGACGCTACCAATTTGTGTTCTTGTACAGTTTGACGACGATTATAATGGCCCTACTCTTTCTGCTAGATTTCCAAGATGTGTTCCAATTTGTCCAATAACACAGGTTTCTCAAAACCTAGGTCAAAAATGTGAAAGACAGCAATTACCCCTAAAGTTAGCATGGGCAATCACTATACACAAGAGTCAAGGTTTAACGCTAAAGAAAGCCTGGGTTGATCTTGGTCCTTCAGAAAAATCTTCAGGAATGACATATGTTGCACTAAGTAGAGTTAAGAAACTTGAAGACCTAATGGTAGAACCCATGACCCTGGATAGACTGCAAGCACCCAAAAAATGTGCAATTTAAATTACAGACTTAAAGAAGAAGAGCGGCTAGATGGTTTAGCCCAAGATACTTTGGACAGTTTATTGTAGAATCCTATTGCCCTAAATATATTAAACATCCAAACCAGATAAAACCACTTTTAACAATTAGAGTTTGATTAACCAGATGTGAGCCTTGATTCAAGATAATGTAAAGGATACAGATTTTAACTTGAAATAATGGCATAAATTGAGTGGAAAACTGCTACAATGTACATAACCTTTATTTAGAATTTTTATTTTTGTTACAGATTCTTTGTGGAAAGAATGTCAAAGCGTGAGCCAGACCTTAACTCGGGTAAGTATTATGATTATGGGGGGGAAGAACAGTAGATCAGAATGCAAGGAAAATGGTGAATAGGTACTAAACACAGAGACTACAGTGATTTGTTGCCTATTTAACATGAATCTTTTGATTTTTTCCTTAGAATCACTCTGTGGCTTTATACATAATTTAAGCCCTGTAAAACGCTCAAAGAGAACGGATTGGTTTGAGTTTCATCTGCAAACAAGTCCTTCCAAAGTACAGCGAGTAGTTGGATTTAATATCCCAAGCCACTCAACCTTCAGTGGACATAACAAATCAAAACCCCTGTGCTGCTGTCAAATACTAAGAAGAATGATTCGAACAAGGACATTATCTTCAACCAACAGTCAATTGTAAGGTCTGCACCAGCGTTCGACATTGACTTTGATTATTCTCCAGACATTGCTGCATCTGAGTCATCCTCCTCTTCAGTGCAACCTGCTACTACGATCACTCTGGAACAGGTACCAACTCTAAAGATAAACCAGAAGGTCAACGTCACAGCAACGATTTCATTGGGCAGTGAACAACCTAAGCCGGTTGAAGTGAAATCCACACAAAAGATGACGCTCGTCAAAGAGGATTGTGTCTTAGAAGATGAGACAGGTACAGCTGAAATTCACATTTGGGATGAGCTCATCAACAACGTGAAAAATGGGACAACATATGAATTCCAAAACCTGAACGTCAAGCACTTCAAAGGAAGCACCCACTTAGCAACGACACCAGCAACTACCTTCAAGGAAGCCAGCAAACAACTTAAGTCTGTGCAAGGGCCTACACTACTGGAAAACCCAGAAAAAGAAGTTAAAGTCGAGATGTTCAAGTTTCTTAACAACCTAAGCATATTCGTTGCTTGTCAAGCTTGTAAGAGGAAGATAACAGAGAGTGCCCATCAGAAGTACATAAAATGCAGGAACTGCGGAGTAAAGGCAGCGTCAAGGCGAATGCAAGAGAGATGCATCTGTGCAAGTCAAAGTAGAAATAGCTGGAAAGGAAATATGGCTGACAGCGTTCACAAAAGAAATTGAAAGTCTTCTGGCTCTGTCTCCAGAGCTTTCCCTTATGAGTGACTCAGAATCTATTGAAGACCACCTTATGGACCTCAAGGATATCCACTTCACCTATAATGTGAACAAAAAACACCATAACCCAGGTGACATCTCTTTCAAATGGACTGGCGCAATGACACTATGGAACGATTGATTAATGGGCTATCTTGGCATGAAACTACTTACTATGTAAACTACGTTCAAAGTTGCCTTCTAAAATCATGTTAAAACACGAACATGAAACATTTTAAAAAACAAAGAAATCATGTGAGATATGCATTTTTATCTCTGTTACAAGTTCAGTTCTTAAAGACATTTCAAAAAACAAGGATTTGCATTTGGAATCTACTTTACAAGTTTCGTTTTTAAAAACATTCTAAAAGACGAAGAAAAGCATCTCAGATTTGCATTTGTAATTTACGTTACAAGTTTTGGTATTAAAGACATTTGACACATTTCAATTCATGCTCATTTGTCTCAGGTAATGCAAGGGCTACATATATTTCAGCTCTAATCTGCCTTACAAGTTTAGTTCTTACGGACATTCTAAACAACAAAGAATAGCATGTGCGTTTTGCAATGCTTTTTTAAACAATCATTCAATTTGAAAAAAATGTTCTGTACTCTGGTTACTTCTTCATTTTCATTCGGCAAGCAACTGTCGCCGTTTTTACTCGTTGGCACTCTAGCGCCAGCTATTTCTAGTTATATGTCTCATCTCGGATCTAGATCTCAGGGAATTAAAAGGGTAAAGATTAAAGGGACACGAACTAAGGTTTCGTGAATTTTGCGTGTTAACCTTTGTGATCTTACAGTTCTGGACAGCAAGGAAACTAGTCCCTGTAAAATGAAACCTAGGATATTGTCACTTCAAGGCACATGAATCGCAGCATTGTCCGGAAACGGGATTTCTTCCAAGGCTTGAAGAGATTGGCAACGGCCCATTGGTTTTTCAAGAATTGGCGAAATATTTCCGAAAATGACTCACACATTTCCCATGATAAAGTCAAAGGGCCTTAAACTTCAAACCACAAATATCTCATCAGGTTTAAGTACGCGTCTGTTTGTCTTTCGCATGCCTTCCAACTTTAAGGTTTATCTTACTAAAGCCGGTCATTATCGACAGTTTGACTGCTCTTTTTTGGCGGCAAAACATTATCAGATATCTTAAGATTGCATCAAGAGAGATATTTGTTTGTCTCGTTTTTTTAATGTACAAGATCCTGGAGAAAAACACCCTGCAACTTTTTTTTTATTTGTTTTTGTTTGTGAGTTTGTTTTCATTCCTTCAATGCGGGCGCTGAATACCTTCGGAAATCACGTTTTTGATCACATGAAATCGAAACGGAAACGGACGTATCTTTTTCAAGTTTCGGCTGGATATTTCGGCCTAAGGGAAAATTCCGTCGGAGTTGTCATATTTGTCCTAGCGTGTTCTCTACCTAATCAAAGTATTTTTTTGACATTTTGATCATATCTTGCTCACTTGAATTACGTTGACCTCCTATCATTATAGTACTACTTTGTGCCGGATGCGTTTATAGGGATGTTTAATCTTGAAGTCGAAGGCCAGCTGAGAGGGGGTCCTAAAATGTAAACAGTTTTAACGTTCTAATTTGCGAGGGCAATCCTAAACAGAAGTAGTCATCTGAAGACTGATTGGTTATCTTTCCTGAGTGCTAAAAGTGCATTTTACTGAATTTGAGCGATTGAAATAATCCGACTACCTACAATGTCTGCACAATACCTACACTGGTCTTTGAATGGAAGAGTTGTATTTCAAATAAATAAATTAGATCAGTGTCGTTTCTTCCGATACTTTGTCGGCGAGGTTGTATTAACATTGCCGGTTTAACTCGATAAAATTATTGACCTTCTGAGGAGCCTTGAATTCTTAAGCTTTATGTGACAACCCCTTTTTTTACCTTTCCGTTACTAAAGACAATCTTTTTTGGTAGTAAAATGTTCTGGTTTTAATCCTATATCATTTCACCAGAACCGATGCGTTTGCAGTAGAAAGGGTTAAACTTACACCAACATCGATTGACTATTACATTTCCATTAATTCCAGATGCCTGCCCATAATTAAGTGACTTACAGCGATCTCAGTAGGTGATCAGCAGTGCGACATAAAAATAATCATGAACTTCTAGAACTGGCAGTAAGTTAACTTTGAACAGGTTGTTTTTGTAGTAAAAGTCTCTCAAACACAGTTCTCTGAAAAAGGGGTAGAACATGCAAAATTGCTTGACTAGCAACGACTCTGTTGATTGGTTTATTTATTTACCCTTTTATCTTGTTTATAACGGATATAGGGATGCCACCTCGTAGTTGATAAAATACCGGAATGCGGCATTTAACTCTGTCTATCACTTTAGCCCGGATGCACACATAAAACATCTTGAGAAGATCACGCGATGTTGTGCCTAGGGCGATGTATTCCCAGTTGGTTGACGTATTTCTGTGGCGAGTCCCGATTAAAGCATCACTGGAGTAGATACCCCATTAAATAATTTAGTTATTGCACATACGTAGAACAAAATTGCAGTTGAAATTCTCTTTATTGGGTACCCTTGACGAGAAAAAATGTGTTAGCAGGGAGCATGAATGATCCTCGAAAGGCGGCCCCTAGCGAAGGCTTTTCATCAAAAAGGCTGCCTATAGTCCTAGAATAGTTGTTTGCCTATAGGAGTGTCGTTTAACCGAGCGTTGACTGTATGTATATAGATTTAACATTACGCTTTTAAAAGCTTGTCAAAAAATTGACATGAACGGACATCACTTATGAAAGGTTTTTATTAAAAGGAAATCGTAACGTGGTTACTCAGTATCCACAACGCAGCAACGTTGAAAACCATGCAAAACCGCTTCCTGAATTTTCTATCTTAAGCCATATATTTTTACTTTATTTTTGCATGTTCCCTTAATCAAAAATATCAAATCTCGAGTCTTCACGTAAACAGTCAATGTTAAGTAAAACATTTCGATTGGTCTTGTTGGCATACGGACATATGGACCGAGCTCTATTCGTGCACTCCCCGGCGCTTGATGAAGGCGTCTGTTTCAACTGAACCGAAATCAATTGCGCAAGGAACAATTTTGAAAATATCCCTTTTTCAATATCAATTTTTTTAATCTCTTTTTATATTAAAGGGTAGCCTGAGTAACGGACAATTCCCTAAAAAGAAACCTTTGATCTGTGTGCTTATAGATTTTCATACTGTTTACTTGACGCAGCAGATATCAGTTCCGTGCTTCTCACAGCTTTTATTTTGTCTTTTCTTATGTCGGTAAAGATGAAACTCCACAGCTAAAGCTTTTCATTTTATCTAACCCATAATGATGCTTGATTGTTCAAGCATTGTGCTGAATTTCTCTTTGCATTTAAAGTTGCTGGAAGCACTGGCGCAATGAAATCTGTTGATGAAGAAAGAATTGTGGATGTATCAGGGAACTTAACCTCGTTGGACAAAAAACTGGTATGTTAATTTTCTTTCAGTACCCGTATATGTTTACGGTAGGAATCAAAACAGTTGTTTTAAAGAAACATTTGTATCGTCATTCATTTCCTACTGGAGGGAGCGGCCGACCCAAGAGGTACAACCGTTCCACGCTCGATTCAACGAGGTCTTAGTGCGCGCTCTCAACCAGTAAAACAGCTGCTCATTGTCTCTTTCCCGTCCTTTTTTTCACCAACTTGTTGTTTTCTACTTTTAATGAACTTCATCCAAATTATTTCAGACACCTTTTGCATGCACTTGGAATGAACATTAAGGTTGACGATATGAAAAGTAATACTCAGCCGAGTTTTGTTTCAGTTATACCGCATTTAACCGAGTCTTTCACTTCGGTGTTGACAGTAAGTTCTGCGTTACTGCTTCGGATAACCCTACATTCGATTCTATGCTTTTCAGGCTTTCTACAATTAGTATTTCTATGCTCTAAAAGTATCCCCTGGCAGGATTATAAGCTTCTGTATCTGGCCACTTGATCTTTGGAATCCATGGAAATACGGGGCAAAGAGGGGTGGAGGGTGGAGGGGAGGGGGGACAGGGGAGGGTAGTTGGAACTATACGTACAGAACTTTTAAACACGTTAGGATATACACTACGAATAGTCCCTTATTTTCCTCAGCGATAGCAAAGCCAGCGACATACGCGAATGCGCGGGTAAAGCGCCACCCGCGGAAGGTGGCATGCCTTCTAGCTACTAAACCGAAGGCCTGCTTTTAATCGAGCCTTAATATGGTCGGTTGCGATAGTTGTTCTAGAGGTTGGAGAAAGTATAATGACACAACATGATTAACTGCAGCAATACTTTTAATCTTATTTGTTCGTGTGAAAAGCCGACATTGCCCATTGCAACGCCGCCTGACTCAGGGTCCTCAGTCTCGATCAATAATTCATATTGGCGTCCTCTCTCTTATTTAAACAGGAAGGAAAAATACTTGAGGTAGAACAACGCTACGACTTAAAAGTAAAAGAGGTGAGAATATAATGAACTATACGCTCCTCAGTTAATCAGAGAAGAAACACCTTCAGTAAGTTTTCATATTTTTAAATTAGGTATTCAGGATAACAACTCATTTTTTTTTTCTTTAAAAAAACTATGAAGAATATGCTGCCTTTGCTCTGACACTTGCTAATGGTAAGACATTATAGTCTTCTCGGATAAGGCAAAACATAGGCCCCGTCTCTGAGCTGTTTCAGTGTTTTCATTCTTATCGGACATAAAGATCCCACACTGCTGCTGTTCGACCTGTTCGTAAAGAGTAGGCAACCCAGACCCCGGTAGTGTGAACAACCTATCAGCTTGGGCTGGGTGCGTAATGAAGGGGTAAAAGGGGAGCAAATCCTGTTTCATCGTTTGATTGTGTTGATTCACCTTGACGAATTTCAATAAATAAATAAACTAAGCCAGCAAAATGATTGACGTTTTGCTTTTAACGATTATTTTGCCAGCTTCTTGAAGAACTTATTGAATTGAGGCTAACAATTCAGCAACAAAAGATCAACGCAGAGGAGAAAGAAATCTCTCAGGTAAGGTACCGTACCTCTTCAAAGAAAAACCTGGATCGCTTGATCCAGGCCCCCTTTACCCACTTGGAACGCGCGAGCTGGCCTGGGAACAAGGCTGAGCAGTAGCAGCAGTGCTATACAGTGTCTTGCTTCTGTAAATGTCAGGGTATGTTTTGTCAGTACTAAAAGTCCAGGCCTCGGTTGTTCAAACGTTGTATAGCGCTATCTATCGGATAAATCACTGTCCAGCGGAAAAACATCAGGGAAACCTTATGCTATCCACTGGATAGAGATTTATCTAGCGCTATCCACTTTTTGAACAACTGAGGCCACAACCATAAGCTTTATCAAATACTTTAGCACATCAATTTTTTTTGTATAGGATAAACACGTCAAAAATCTGACAGATAGCCTGGCATCAACGCAACTTGAACTGGAGTCACTCAAGGCTCAACTCTCTTGGCATGTTACCGGGCTATGGAATACAACAAACTCTACAAAAACACAACTAAACCACTTGAAAGGAGTCTGGATCAGAGTAAATGCTACATCTAAAAGGATTTCCAACTTAACTAAAGAGGTAATATGCGTTACAAATGTTGTGCTTCAGAGGAGAGTATGGCCAGCCGATCGGCTGAAATGAATACCTTGCACCTTTTTGGATCTTACTCAGGCCCAGTGATGGGGTCATTCTATCACTCTTCCTGCCGTAAGGATCAGGGTACTGTTTTTTTTTTTTTTTTTAATTTGGTATTGAAGATTTTACTGATCCAGGTCTACTAAAGACCCTGCTGACCCTCACTGGTTTGTCGCAGTGGTTTTGCCTTCACAAATGTCTCGGAATTGTCCTTCTCATGATAAGATTTTTATTCTCTCCTAGACCGATGAGAGGTTTGAACACGTTTGGCAAAACATGCATGCTTCTAACGAAACCTTAAATGAACTGGTGCAGTCTCTTCAAGCTTTAAAGCTACAGGTAAATTTAGTAATTCATAAAACAGCACTTAACAGTTGTTCAACAACGAGGCATTGCTTCGAGTCTTGTTTGACAGTATTCTGAGAATGAATTCCGGACTCTTGTTTCCCTTCCCCTTAAATTTGTCTCATTTCCTTATTTTCCTGATTGGAAAGATTGAAATACTCTTAACTGTAGTTCTAAATCAAGAAGCTACCAGTAGATTATTTTTCAGTTTACATTCATTATTTGCAGATTAAAAACGAATCAGAGACCGTGTGGTTCAGCTTTAATAAATCGACGAAAAGCTTCGTCGACTTAAAGTCATCTCTGCATTCACTAAAAGAAAACGTGAGTAATTTTAGTTATGTTTCATGGTTATTTTCATTCGTTTTACATGTAAAGCTAAAATTCTTTTGCAGTAACGAGACATGTAAATATAACGGTTGTTCAAATGAATCACTCGTAACGTGGCAACCTCGAATGACGTTTTGATATTTATGGCCACTAAAGGCCTTGGAAGAAAGTACGTAAGTAAGTAAATTGGCAAGTTGTGTATGTTAGGTCTGTACTTTTTAAACAAGCTAATTATAAAACTACTGAAATCTTTCTTCAGTCAAAGCTGCTAAGTTCATCGTTATCTGTGGTTACCACGTTGGCTAATCAGACGAAAACGGACTTCCAAACTTTTACGTTGAGCATGAAAAGTTCCCTGTCTACGGTAAGATTATTGTGCCCTTGTTGTCACACTTCAGCTTCGACATTTTAGTATTTAAGAGGCCCTTTTACCAAATTAGAAAGAGCGTTAGAGGTGACGTTAAAATTCAGTATACCCTGCGCTCCAAGTGAGGCCTACTGAAAGTCGACTGGCTTAAATAAACCTACCCCTTACTCAAGTGATATTGGTAAAATAATCAATTTGCACATCGCCCGTAATAGACCTTGTTTGCCCCCCAATTTTTGCATAACCTTTGTTTTGTAATTTCTCCTGAGTATTAAAGTCGCCGTAAGGGTAATTGAGGACAATGGTTATCATGTAAAATTTGGGGTAGGGTGGGGGGGGGGGGGGGGGATTAGGGTTAGGTTTAGGGAGGAGGAAGCAAGGTATATTATGGGAGAATTGCACTCAGCGAATACAAAAAGCTGTAATTTTACTGTTAGTATTGGTACGGTGGCACTTTCACTGAGCCTGTGTATCATGTGGTCCAGCGAACGTTTGTCACACACGCAATAACTGCTTCTTATTTATAACTCAGGTCTTGACAAGTCTACAGAAACTTGAAGAAAATGCGAACGTTACAAAGGACAGCTTTTCTCTGGATATTTTCAACACAAAAGAGATGGTAAATGCGATAGTACTCCCAAACTTTATAGCTATGCACTTAGTTTTTGAAGGTTCTAATTTTGCGATCTTTTGCGGATGCACGGAAACGCACAGAAACTAATCCAATGGACCAAAAGAAGGCAATTTCCGAGTTCCACTTCGCCCACGCACAAAATAAATGTATTGCTTTAAACGACATCTATTTTCAAATCTTGTTTACAATTGTAGGCAGTTTGACTGACATAAACGTTTGACGGATGAATGCAATTTCCAACAAAATTATTAATGCCGGGTAAGAAAAAACCAGACTCGACGAATCGAACAAAACTAAATAAATAGATAAATAAACGAGTTGCCAAAAAATACACAACATTGCCTACCCGCAAAGTAAATTAGTAGTTCACTCTGTCATAAATGTCAACCTGTATTGATGTCAGTTAAGCATTTAACTGGAAGAAATTTGTGCTCGTTCTTGCTATTGAAACAGCGCTAACATCAAATCCAGATTTGTTTTTGTCAAAGTTGTCACAACGCCTTTTGATAGCTGTTAAAACGCTGATTTTTTTCAACAGCTACAAAACGCAACCGTTAGACTTGATCAACAAGACGTCAACTTGAAGTTGCTCTTGAGTGAAATTAACAGCACCCTCTCCTTAAAGGTAAAGCTGATATTGCCTTAGAAATATATGGCTTTCCCCGTAGACCTGCTCTCATTTTGTTCAATTTTACAGCTATAAGTATAGTTTTCCCAGGGGGATGACGAGTGGACCAAAAATAAGCTGGGCTTTTTTGTTAATCAAGGCACTATCACTGTGTCGTAATGTAGAATCAAATTTTTTACACACTCTGTTAGCGAGGCTTTAAAAATGGAGGCCCCAATTTTCATAGCAAAACAACATAATCGGCATATCTTTTACGCAACAATGCAAGTGGCCTCGAGCCGGGTAACTTAAATATGTGGATTTTTGTAGTTGTTGTTGTTTTTTTCCCTTATTGGTTTTCATCTTTCTAATGACCTGTGCAATGTATGGAAACGAAGCACATAAAGAAAAGATAAAAATTTACGCATTTCTTTTCAGGTAGAGAATGTCAGCAAACTACCGGGCCCAGTCGGCCCTCCTGGAGTAAACGGTTCCCGAGGCCCGATGGGTCCAGAAGGACCCCAAGGATTCAACGGATCCCGGGGTGCAATAGGTCCTCAGGGATTTAACGGCTCCCAGGGGTTGATTGGACCACAGGGTCCCCAGGGTGCTGGGGACTTCTCTTTGTGTAAATACATGACCGAGTCTTCAACGGGAAGTCAGTCGCCAGTAAGAAGCCTTTCCCCTGGCGCTGGTATTAAAGTAATTCTCGGGGAACCAAATGTAAGTTTATGATCATTGTTGTTATTAATTATAACGATTATCATTGTCATTATTATTATTTATTATTATTATTATTATTATCATTATTATTATTATTATACTTTTGTGGGTTTTATAGGTGTTTGCGCTCATTCAGTGAGTGTCAGCAGTTTGTTTATCAACTTCAAATACACTCGTGCATTCAAACTCTACTTAAAAATTGTCTAATACTTCTTTGATTGGGATAACAGAAAATGCTCCTTTGAGATAATATAAAATGCTCAAGCTAAAGAGGTTTATATGCAGACGTAGTGACCGGAAAAAAAACTTGAAATATCCCACGTGCTACCCGTCGCTCATCGCACAATATGCAACGAGTTTCTACATTTCTAATTGGCTGTATTCTTTATGGGATATTAATAATGATGAAAGCTGGCAATAACTTAAGTTTGCCCCATCATTCGCTTTAGGCATAGTTATTTAAAGCCGTCCTTATGGTATATGCATAAGTTTATTTATTTATTTATTTATTTATTTATTTATTTATTTATTATTTGTTTTTTGCTCTCAACACTCATGGCTAATTTGGTCCTTTGTTTGTTCATTTTATTTTTGTGCGTATATTTCCCTTTAGAGAAGAACATGTTTTTCATTTTTATTCTTCCAGGACAAGAGAATAGTTGGTGTGTCATGCTCCACGAACCGAGCCCAGATGTATCTTCTTTCAAGCGCAATCAACCCATCCAACGGTCAACGGTTTTATTACTGTGACTGTTTTGGACATTTTGGCTCTGATTGGCAGTCTGTGACTTGTTTTATGAGGTACTGGCTTTGCCCTCTTTCAACATAATACTCAAGACATACCATCTGTCTTAGATAATCACACGAATTTCAAGAGTAATTTGGAATACGTAAGCACATAACTAAGTTAAGACCGTTCACGAAGCTAAGCCACCATGGATAAATGGATCCTCTTTTAAAGAACTTTATTCGAAAGTAACATTGGCCTTGTCTTCGATTAACCCAACCAAGACACAGGAACCGCTCGGCTTCCCTGGATGGCTATTAAAAGGGGAACGCTCGGACATTTTGGCTACGCGCCCACCAGGGACAGGAGAGAAAATTTTAATGCCCATAACACATTAGCTCCCCAACTCTGGTTATTAATAATCAGAGTAAGTTTTGGTCTTCCTTCAGAACGAAAACCAATAAATGATCAACTCAATATATCTGAGAATGGACACTCGGGACCGTACTTCGTGGTGTTTCTGAAGATTTTTTTCTGAATATATATATATCACTAGAGGGTTTAAGCATCGCGTTTACGGCGAACGATAAACGTGAATTTGTATCGCGTGACCAAGTTTTCCATTTACTCATCGTTTACTGTTCATTATAACTACACGAAAATCGGTAGATTCACGCCAATTCTATCCATAAGAATTGTTTTACGCTGTTTTTATCTGCTCATTTCTCATTTTGAAAATGTCTCAACTTGAATCTCACGTTTGCCGTTTGCCCTAAACGCAATGCTTGATCTCTGTACTACCAAAATTCTTCTAACACCGGCTCTAATATTGGAAGCTGAGATAAACTCAATCTTCTTTTTTTGTTGTTGTAAATTTGATCCCAGTCCCTAGCTTTAAAATGAAAGGGATGGATCTGGTACTGATATTAAAACGAACATGCCGCAGAACGCTGGATCTAATGAAGGCCTCATCAGCAAAAATATACCTAGACACATTGAGAATTCTCAAAGTGATTCGGTCAACAACTCCACAAATGCTATTGGGGTTGAAATAGATATATTTATTTGTATATTTTGTGCAAAAAATCACTTTGTAAATATCTTTGTTTAAAAGTAACAGAAATTTTACTAATATAACATTGAGTTTTTCAAAATTAAATTTATGGTGGTTCTTGAACTCTTTAAGTTTTCACAATCAAATGTTTTACAGTTAATTTATGCCAACAACTTTTAAATTCTTGCATCTCCTCTGTTATAGTGACATAGTGTTACGCGTCAGTGTATGTAAAATGATACTTAGCAATCTATTCTGGAAGAAGTAAGCTAAAATTGTAGGTATATCAATATTTAACTTTAAGTTTATTGCAAAACAGTACAAGTGTAACTTACCGAAATTAAAATCCTTGTAAATAGTTAATTATCCTACTAGTTGTAAATGCATTCTGTATGACAAATATAAGGCATTTAAGTAAACCAGTACATGAAAGTATACATTGAAATTTGCTTACATCAGTGTGGTGGGTCCTCATAAAATGTTCTGCATAGAGCTCCTTGAAGCCGAAACCAATTGTTCATCAGTAGCAGGCCTCCTGCTACTGAACGCTTGTAGTTTGATATTCGCAGGAGCAATAATTGTTTACAATTAATGTCCAAACCACTGCAGTCTATACCCCACCTGTGAATCTCGTGTGAATCGCTTCACATTTATTGTAAATCTTGAAGGACAATTCATTTCATCCGTTTAAGTTTGCCGGGATATATAAGGCAAAACAGTGATCCCTGCTCTGCTCCCTTGAAAAAGAAAGTCATAGTTTTGATGCCCATCTTTCTCGTGGCCACAGGCGAGGCTAGCGCCAGCTAGCCTGTTCCAGCGTTCAGATAAAGGAGACGGCGCAAGGAAAAGTAAGCAAGGGGGAAAAAGCGAGGCGGTAAGAAAATAGGGTCAGAGGGGGAAGAAACTCTTTTTTCTTTTGCTCTCTGTACTTCACGCCATTCTCCATCATCTAAACTTCTGGGATAGGGTTAACCCCATAAGCAATACAGCAATCCATAAAGAAAGAAGAGAACATAAAGAGCTGTAGACTTGGGAATTCCAGGAGCAGTTTTTCAAAGTTTCGAGACGTAAGAGAAAATAACACTGGAGCAATGGCGTAAGAGAAGACCCCGAGGTCGCGATTGCTAGGGAGAAAAAGGCAGGAATTGCCGTTAAAATAATTTACTCGAGAACACAAGATGCGTGTCTGAATATGAGCTTGACTCACTTATCCGGAAATGGGATGGTTCGAGGTACTAGCACGCTTGCAGGACGACCAATCAAGCTGTCATATCTTAAAATATGAAAAGCTTTTTCTTTCCTACAATGGCCTTAAAAACGCGCGTTAAGTCCACAATAAAAAGGGCCGATGTACAGCTAACATCTATTAGCCTTTTTTTTTTTTTTAAGTAGAAACCGGGATTCGGGAAAGCGATGTGAAAAGGTGCGGGACGCGGGGTTTTCCTGAAAAAGGAGCGGGAATGCTAGCTGGATCATGAGTCCCCGCCCCTTCACCAAACCCTGGGACAACACTCAGGGTCTTGAAGTAGCTGAACAAGGAGAAGGGACTTTCTTTTCTTTTTTATCGACGGTTTAATTATCTGTGTATATACAGCTGACTGGACATCATAAGAGTTAAACTTTTTGATATCACGTCACAGACGTGTTTTATTGTGTTTTATTACATAATAAGAGGGAAAAGACTGTACTGATGTTTATTTAAGCAATAGACCATACTTTCTATGGGCCGGCTCGTGATTTACAAGCTTTTCGAGTGTTCTCCCAACATTCCAATTGGGTTATCACGCCGGTAAACCCAAAGAAAGTGTGGTCTATTGTTTGTACAAAATAACTTTAAGTTTTCTATGAGTTTACCGGCACAATAAACCATAGGTTTTTAACCAATTAGAACGCGCGTACTATCTTAGATATTTTATAAAGAAGAACCATTTATTAACCCTTTTTTAAAAGGGTTAATAAACGGTATATTACTTAATCAGGAGGTTAAAAGCTCCTTATTCCGGTTCCACATACAAATTCTACAGACTGATGTTCTCCAAATATTTTTTATACTACAAAAATTAGTGGAGAGAATTTGTTGAAAGATCCGATGATCAAAGCATTTTTTTCCATTATTGATCATGTTATTAGAATTCTTGTAAACATTTCATTGGCTAGGAGTATTTGTTGATATGGGTAGGAGAAAGTTGATGTTGATCACTCTTCAGGGACTGGTAGGATTAAGTAATATATCAGACCAAATGGGCGTGGATAAAACTTTGTTTTAAACCAATAATGAAACGATTACTTAAAATATAATTGATTGATGCTCAGCACCATCATACAACATCATTTAATAAACCTATAAACTTCACTTTGTTAACAGACCTTGAATTAAGCGATCCACCATGAAATTTTCATGAACATATCATACGACTCTTTTCTTTTCTTTTTCTCTTTTCGTTATGCAGCTGTTAATGACAGATTTTATAGCGCATGCTGACGAGAGGGCGATCTGTTGTCAAGTATCAAATAGCTTGCTGGTCAGCTTGAATGTTCTTCAACTTTTTTAATAAGTGTTTCTTGTTTATGAGGCTGTATTTTTAATTGTAAAGCGGGCAAAACCAAACGGGGCTCATAGTGCTCCTTTTCATTAATAAATTTCCCTTTTTCAAGACTAATGTAAATATATGTAAAGATTGAGTTTCAAAGGAGGCAAACAGCACGCAAAACACAATGCTTTTGTGAGACAAGGCGTTATTCAGTCAATTTGGGAAAAAGTGAATGCAATGAGTCACCGAGAAAATGCCACGGCTCTCGACTCTAAGTAAGACAAAATGATCACCGCATGCTAGTTTTTACAGCTAAACACAGCTTTTCAGCTTGCAAATCCTAACAGGTGTCTCATTGGGAAAAAATGTGAGAAAAGATCAGCTGGTCTTAGGAATGTTATGTAAACAGACTACAAAAGGAAATCAGGGCAAAGTAGGTCATCAGATCAACAACTTGCACGTGGGGTACAGATACCGTAGTAGCCGACACCGGCATGGTTCTGTTTCATTTCACTTTCTGACCACAAAGTTATCGCATGACTCATACACTGTAACAACAACACTTTTGTTGAAATCATAACTAGCGATGCAAAGGACAAAACAAAATGGCGACGCAGTTTTCACTTGTGAGATGGAATTAGCACAAGGGGAATCTTCCAGTCCGAGACGATCGACCGGCAAACTAACACCGCTCGATACTGTCCCAGAGGACGATGTGAGCAGACTAGGGAATGGGAATACCTGTCGGGAAGGCATGTCTGACAACATCGACATTAGCGATAATGAAAACCCTTTGGAAAGAGGCATTATCCAAGACAACACATGTGGAAAATCAAGAAATGGACTATGTAATGCCTTTCGTGACAGACTGCGGAGGATTCGAGGAAACTGGTTACATTCCTCAGTCAGTCCCACCCCAAATGAAGTCAATGTTTATGTTAAAGGAGAGAAGGAATACGCTGCAAACATTCCTCTACCTCTGAAGGTAGACAATAATGAGGAAACCCTCCCCAACAGCATTGCTTCACCACGTTTACAAAAAGGGTGTTTCTTTGTGCCTTTCATTTCTATCATTCTTGTTGTTATCTTTATCATGTCGGCTACAAGCTTAACTTTGGTGATAATGATCATAAATGGCAAAATTGTTGCAACAGAGGATGGAGCGGCAAGCCCAGCTAAAGGTATTTATTTGAAGTTGATGAATACTTCTTTCAAATTAATCAGTATTACGTATACGTACCACAATTTTCTAGCTTCGACTGTCTCTCTTGTAATATACGTGTACATTCAAAACTTAAAGCCGAAAAGCAAGACCAAACTATTTTGAAAATTTCTCAACTTATCCAAACATGTTCTAGACTACGAGTAGTCCCCCATTTTTCCTCAGGGATAGTAGAGCGAGCAAAACGCGAGCGCGCGTGAAAATCAACCCACGCGAGAAAAGGCGACACGCGGCGGGGAGAGAGAAATTTTTTTCTCTTTCTCTCTCCCCGCCGCGTGTCGCCTTTTCTCGCGTGGGGTGATTTTCACGCGCGCTCGCGTTTCGCTCGCTCTACTATCCCTGAGGAAAAATGGGGGACTACTCGTAGTCTAAACATGTTCTTGTTCACTGTATCGCCACCGTCGTTTGCATAGAGGAAATCCAGGACTAATTTCAGTTTGAGGAATGTTTAATGTTCAAATGCACCCGGCGTAGATCAGCTTTTGTTTCATTAGTCAATTACCAACCGTCAAATGTTATTATATATTTTCGTCAAACGGAAATGCCTACTGCTGAAGTTAAGTGCGCGGAACATGGATCGATTTAAAATACATCATGAATCTGACACAGTTGTAATTGGTGGTCTTCCAATTTCCCTATAGATTTTTTAATTCGCTCATCGCAGAGAGCAGAATTGCAATTAAATGAAGAAATCTCTTAAGCTAATGCTGTCATGAAACGGAACATTATCTTAACAGTTATAAAAAAAACGTTTCTAATCGGGCAAACTTGTAGCCTTGTAACTCGTTCTTTCATCTACAAATGAGTCAGGAGAAAACATTAAATGGTAAAATTAAGCCTACATTAAGAATTTAATTTGATCAATCGAAACACTTCTGAAACCACTGATTCATTAAAGACCGTTAAAGGCCGTTTTCCATATGCAAGTCCAGCGCCAGCAACATATAGAAGAAGTTGCAATTGCAATTTATTTTTAATACCGTAACTTCAATTCTTGGATGGTCAGTGTGGTAAAAAGAGATCTAAATGATTAAAACTACTGGTTATCTTTAGCCGAGATTGCTCCCAGAGTCTGTCAAAACAAAATGGGCAAAATTGTTATTTACGTTAATGTTAGATAAATTTCTCCTTCTAACTATAATCTCTCTTTTCTGGTCACAAACTTGAATGTCTTATTTTCGGCAAAACTACAAGACGGTCAACAAAATTTAGCATGCCCTCTGTTTAAAACAGCGTTTCCTCTTGCAATCAGTTTAAAAAAAGGTTGTTTAAAACACCACTCCAAAAAGAAACGACGGAATGTACTTTAGAGGGCATAGTGGTTGTTTTGGGGGGAAGGGGTTGATTTAGTTAGTCTGCTAATAGATTCCTTGTTTTGATGGTGGGACTATCTGGTAGTTGTCTCAAATGATTCCCTTCGAAATTCTGACACATTGATTGAGCCATTGACTACGACCTTAGACAACCTTTTTTTTTTAACAATTCTGTTCACCATTATCAATTTTTTTCACCATTTGCCCAAATTGTAGAAAACAAATTGGTTAACCCATGTATAGTAAAATCAGAATGACACTATGTCTCACCCATTATAATAGAGAGCTTTAGATTCTAAGACGAGTACGACTACGAGTACGAGATTTTCTCAGTACTAAGTGGTTTTCCCGCGAATGTCGTGGTGGCGGGAGACAAGTTATCAAATGTTGGAAGTTTTATCATTTTGCGATCAGAAGAGGGCGTAACCTCCTTGACTAAAATGAAGCTTTCCGGGAAGTCTATATTTTAAGAAGACGCGAAAAAACTTGAAGTCAAATCTCGTACTCGTAGTCGTTCTCGTCATTGAATCTAAACGTCTCTATTGTTACTAAATTTTAACATTTCTTCAGCGCCATTTCCTGTTTTATATTGGAAATGATAGATATCCGTTTCAATCACTGATTTGCGCAAGCTTTTTAATGATATTATATACATGGCAGCAACCGACTTGATAATATTTAAAAAACTCGCAACCTGATCTCATTCCGGAACTACAAAGATGCTAAACACGAAAATGGACCAAAACCGCATCGTTCGATCTTGTCCTAAGTTCAGAAGTTCCAAAGTACAAAATTTAAATGCGCTTTAGAAAATTCCTTCTCATCAGAATATATGCAGCAACGTATATGTTACTTTTATTTCATGGACATCAGATTGTAGTTTTATGCATAGACCGAAAAGTAATCTAACATGATATTACAAATTGATTAAATTCTAAGAAGAAGCCTAGTTGTGTGGAGATGGGATTGTAAGTTTGGGGATAGGGAGTAATCATCGGAATGCTTAGCGGGAAACCCCTGCATCAGTAACCGAAAAGAAGCAACTGACACATGAAAATTATATTTAATTTGCGATTTTGTTAACAGCCATTACCTTATACATACCAATTTCGAGACCAAAACGGGAGACTAAAAGCATACCCATTTGGAGTCACTGTGGTTAATATCCGTATAGGAGTAAGTGAGGTGAGTACATTACACCCTCTCCTCTCCACTCCCCTGTGTCCTAGGGGCTCATGAGTTCTTGTACACGTTCCTCTGCACCAAACATAGCACATTTCACGTGATCTCAGTAATTATTTACCCTTTGGAAATCTACTGAATTCTTTAGCGCGCGTGGGTAAGCGTTTCGGCTTTGATTGACCAAATCATGCAGCTCGAATGACATAACACAAAACTGGCACGTAGTGAGAAACTCATTCAGTGTAGATTGAATAATTCCTGCCACGACCTGCACGTAGTGCCGCGCTAGTGCGTAATTTTTGAATACGTATCAACTTGACAAGGGGCTTCTAAGAGCGTAAGAGATGTGTGAGCCAGCTAAAAGGGATCATAGCTATCTTGTATATCATTTTGAAATGGGGTCTGTGGATGGGACATACTCCAACATTGCATTTGGAAACGACGAATCTTCGGCTGGATCGAAGAGAGAAAATACCGCGTGGGACACGAGCCAGACGGAAACAAATTCAGTGAAAAAAGAGAACTCAAGTCAGTGCGAAAACAGTCAACACACATACGAGACAGTTGACAGAAATGCAATCTTTGGAGGTGAGAATTGGGAGAGAGAAAAGATGGACGTCCACAGCCCTTGGGTTAATAGTGCGAAGACGTCAGTTCCAGAAGGGCAACGAAAAGAGCGGCGCAAAAGCATGAACTGTTTTGCAGTTGAATCAAATGGTGATGTTTACGTAAAACTAAGAAATGAGAAAGAGTCTCCAAGAACGAAAGCGTCCTTCCAGGAAAATGGCGGAAAGCAAAAAGAACCCGACGAGGAAACAGTCTCGGCAGGAAATAAGCAAAACATGTCGACGTTGAAGTTCCGCAAGAGTATTCAGTCAATGGCCATACTGCAAGTGTTGATTTTCTTAATGGCTGCCGTCAGTTTGGCTCTTGTGATTATGTTAATAAATGGAACGATCGTTAGTTCTGCAGCTGTCAGAGGAGGTAAAAAGATTGGTTAAATATCTTATTGCTATAATATATAAATTCAGAAACACAAAGAGCTATAAAAGGAAATTTAACGCTACCAACTGTACTTTTTGAAAACCGCATCATAACCTGTATAACATCTTGACATTACAGTGCTTTCTTTCAAAAATTACTTAAGAGTCTTCCCGTGGATTAGAGGACAAGAATTTAAAATCCAAACAGATAAATAATCTTAAATTCGATCTGGCATATTTGTTCCCATATTTTTGATAGTCCCGGCGGTCCGTAGGAGTTAACATAGTGGGTGCGGCTCCTAACTCGTGTATATTAGCGCGAAAAATATGCGACTATCAGCATCAATTTTTCGCGCCATTTGGATCATCGTGTGTGGGTACAATAGGTGTGCAAACGTTTTAGGACGCTCGATAGGTGGCCGCCAGTAAATTATGATTTTTCACTGGATCACGGCTCTTTCGCTCTTCCTTTTTTTTTATAATTGGAGTTTGCAGATCAGTTACAGGTTGATTATGTTCAGTAAAGTAGATTGACTTCTCCTGGCAAGACTTTGTCGATTACTCCAATCAAATTAGTTATAGACGCCAATTTTTTCTTTCATGGTGAAGTTTTGTTCTTTAGTAGTTGTTTTTCTTTATTTACTATTTTATTAACTCATTTATTTTGTGAGATCTAAGATTGCGGGAAAGGGATCCTGCAGCTCACTGAAACAGATCTCGAACTGTTTTTCCTTTTCTGTTTTTGTTTTTTTAGTTTCATTTTCAGCTTCCGTGATTTGCTTAATCCTACAGTGTCCAACAAAACAAAAGCAAAATAACGTTAGCAGTGTCATTTTAGCCTTGACATTGGACTCTGAACCAAATTAAACTCACATGCAAATCACACCACTCGCTCATGTTCTGATGTTAATTAATAAAAGTACTACAGCCGAATTCCCTCTGTAAAAGTTTCTGGCACGTTTTAATAACACACTACATTAAGATAACGCTTTACTTTTCGGAGCAATGTCTTGAGATCGTTCCCAATCAAAAGAAGCACAAAAGAGGCGATCAAATCAAAAGAGCAACTCGGTGCACAGACAATTAGCTCAGGCTCGAAATATGTGCATCGGCAGTGTTGCATAACCTTCGAAATATGAGAATTTGTCTGAACCATTTTTTTCTGAAACCTTCACATTTGAAACAGATTTGAAGAGAACAAAAGGCTTATCTCACTCACGTTGAAGTTTTTTTTCCTTTTTGTGTGGTCTGCGCGCCAATTTATGGCCATTTTGGGGGTTTTTGTAGAACCTCGTTTGCTTTTATCAGGGGCACCCAACGACAATATAGTTCAAAACCAGTTAAACATAGCATTGTTGAACGTATTTTAGTATTTAAACAGTGGATATAGGTATATTTTTATCCCCTAAAAATTTTTCATCTGTGCGGATTTCGTAGCTGAAAGTCTAGTGATCCGAAAACCATGAGGGATCAAAACTTACCTTTTCGAAAATTTCAGCCAGAAAAAAGACTCCCGAAAATTCTAGGTGACCTTTTTAGGGTAAAAGTCCGTTAAAAATGGGCAATTATACCATTTTTTAGATGTTCGAAAATCCTAGGAGAGGCAGGCAAGCAAGAAATTTTACAACAATTGTTCCGAAAATTCTAGATCTCAAATCGTCTTCTGAACAGATATTTTCCAAAAACTGACGTTGGGTGCCCCTGTTTTATTTCGCAGTGTTGACGTTCATATTTCGAGCTTGGGTTTCCTGTGCACAGGTTGCCATTTCTCACTGGACATTTAAGATATCGAATGAAATCTAGGCGGGATTAAAAGAGCTGATATAAAGGGAATATGCAAGACATAGAGTACATACAATGCCTTTTTTGTTTTTTTCAGATGCAGCAAAGCCAGAAAAACAAACTGAAGTCCCAATTACTGAAATGAAAGCAGAGATTGCTAAACTAAAAGAAGACCTGGACAACGCTAGAGAAGAGCTGCAAAAATTAAAGAATACAAGTGACTCTCTGAGAAAGAAACTTCAGGAAATGAAAAATTTTACACCGGTAGGGATAGCAAAGAATGTTACAACTAAGGTTTGCAAGTTTCGTGTGATTTTATTATTTTATCTTATGTTACATTTTTTACATATCTCAGATGGGAAGAAAAAGATTTAGTGTTTTCGAGTGGTATACAATGTTTGGTTACTTATCTAAATACATACATACTTTATTGTTACCTCTCCAAAGGGGCTTTTCGGGAACAATGATTATATTACATTATTTATAATAACTAATTACAACACTTAATGTAATACTAATCACAATGTTAGCTAATTATTAATTACAATGTTTTAAACTTAACTAAGACGTATTTATAAAATTATCTAAAAGCTGGCTCCTTAAGGAGCGTTTAAAAATTTCAACAGATGGGCTTAACTCAAGAAAAGATTCCACATTGTTCCAAAGTTTGATTAACAGTCCTGTAATAAAAGGTTCTCTGTCCGGAGGCAGTTCTGAAAAGAGGGATGTTTACTCCGAGTTGTTCGTTCGCTAACTTGCTCACTGGTAATAAATTGGGGTTGTAAGATATTCAGGGGCTTGACCGGTCATGGATTTTGGAAGGCCATAATAGCTTGGCATAGTACAGTTGCTCCTTAGCAGGCAACCCAGACAGGCTTTTTAAGAAGGGTGTTACATGATCATATTTTTTCGCACCGCTGACGATTCGGTATTTGCCCAAACATTCGAACAGTAGTACATTTTGCTGAAGACTAAGGCATGTATTACGGTTAACAACGTTTATTATTCATTCAAAATATTTCTCCCGATTCTGATTGGCTAAAAGCACAGGCATAATTCACCATAACCAGTTGCTGATGACCAAATTTGGAAGAATGTTGTGTTTAACGAGGAAATGACGTCAAAAATGCAGCGTTTTTGCAGTTTAATGAACCGTTAACCGAGAAGACCTGGGGACGAGGATGAGTTGTTTTGGTTGTGGAAACAAAAATGGCGGGCATTTCAGTTGTTTCAAGAGTAAGAACTAGGCGACAAAATAGCTAAAACCATGGCAAGAACAAGAAGAAGACAACTGGAAGGGCAACATCTGCTATTTGGAGAATATTTGCGGAGCTGAACAACCCTAAACGTGCACTATCGAAGATGAACTTAACATCGATGGATCGATGGAGGTAGGCATGTTTAAGCTATGTTTTTAAACTAGGAATTATTTTGAATGAATAATGAAACAATTATTGAATTCGGCTTTCGTATCATATGAAGAATTATATGGAGATCTCGGAGGGTGTTATCCGCCTCGGCCTACAGCCTTGACGGATAACACCCTCCTCGATCTCCATAATTTTTCATAAGATACTTAGCCTCATTCATTAATTGTTAAATTTTTGTCTAAGCAATGTTTGACCCGGTTAATTTGCACTAGACGTGCGATACATTCCGACACTGAGGACGTTGTATGGTTACCAAATGTTAAGTTCGGATCCAAAATCACGCCAAGATCTCTCGCTGATTGCACTGGGGAAATGTCCTTTCCCAACAAAGACAAGTGAAATTCATGGAGCTTAGAGGTCATCTGTCGGCTCCCGAAAGCAATTAATTTTGTCTTGTCTGGATTCAGTAGTGGCCGATTTCCGAATCACCAGTTGCGCACCTGCGGGAGATTTTCATTCATATCTTGGACAATCCGTTGGGAGTCGTGTAAATTAAAAGAAACAAACATTTTGTATCGTCTACATAACATTCTGTAGAGCAATGCCTTGGAACTTCTGGTAGATCATTTACGTATGTGCTAAATAACAGAGGGCCTAGAATACTGCCTTGAGGAACGCCACATTCAACTGGAAGAGGTTTAGAAACGGAACTATGAATTCGTACAACTTGATATCTGTTTGTAAGGTGGCAATTAAACCATTTTAGCGCGCCAGTTGCGGCGCCGACGCTTTGTATTTTACGTAACAATATTTGGTGGTCAACGCTGTCGAAGGCTTTACTCATATCTAAAAGCACGCGGGCAGTCAATTTCTTATCATCAATTCCTTTGAGAAATGCATCAGTTGTGTGAATTAAAGATGTCTCAGTAGAGAACCATTTTTTGTTGCCGCTTTGTTTTGTGGTAAGCCTTTCCTTGGTTGTCAAATAGGTGATAAACTGATTATAAGCCACTCTCTCGCAAACCCTTGACAATGGAGGCAGCGGGGAAATCGGTCTGGTATTGTTAGGAAGTTCGTGGTTGCCTTGTTTGGGAATAGGTGTAATTTTTGCGGTTTTAAATCTACTTGTAGGTCAAAAAAAGTTCTGAGAGAGCAGAAAAAGTCAGCTTCGAGTTGATGCTTAACTCCTCTCAACAAAGTGTAATGAATAGTTTGTCAGCCGTATGGAGTTCTTTAAACACGACTGATAAAGAACGCCGCGAAGAAGCAACATTTCTACGATTTATGGCCAATTCAACAAAGGCAGAAATTCGGAAGGTACTGAATATATATTATGACCCGTCAAATTAAATGTTTAATTTCTTAGTGCTACAAAGAACTTGGATGGGCTTTTTACAGTTTAAAAAACATTTATTTAGGCTAATTTGTATGTGTGTTTTAAACTTCTGCAGTTCTCTCTTGTCAACTAGTGTCTAGAATAAACGGTCTATTAATTTTCATGAATTCCTAGTTCCTCCGTCGATGCTTTGTGTTGCTATTTTTTTCTTTCTGAATAAAAACGTCAAACAGTCTACAACCCCTTTTGAATGTTTTCTTTCCCTACTCTGCTTATACATAAGTCCCGAAAAAGTCTGATTTGCCTCTTATACGTTCGACTATTAACTAATAAGATTTGTTGTCTCAATAAAGGTGTCAGACAGCTTGAAAAAACTTGAAGCTAAAGTACGAGTGGAGGAGAAGCGATTGAATGAAACGATGCATCTTAAGGTAAAGATTCTCACGTCAACCCAGATAGAAGTCGATCTTGCAAGTAACTAAATATAGAGAGGAAACTTATCCATTGAGAATACGTATTTTCTTTTCTTTTTTTAACGTCCGCAAAATTCATTGCGGCAGTTGAACTTCTAAATAGAGGCTCCTTGGATTTCATTCCCTTTTTTTTCATTTCACCAGGCAACCAGTTAAATACCCTTCACTTGACACTTCCCTAATCTCACCTGGCAAGCCTTTTTTTGGAAATTCTTTTCTGCTCTGATTGGCTAAAAGCTTTTTGCGCGAAAGTAACTGCCTCTCTCTCCCCGAGGCTGGGATGTTTCATTTCTCTATTATTAAATATTATTAAGTGACGTACTGACTTCTGGGCCTACAAGACTTTGCGGGAAATGAATGATAAGGAATGTTTTGTTGAATTATTCGTTACAATTAACAGGAGAGACATTCAAAGGACTTGGCATCCCTGACTATGTTAATGAACAGAACAAGGATGGATGTGATGAATATGGAAGCTCGCTTGTGGAAATCAATGAATTCAACTGACAAAAAAGGAGATAACGAAATATGGGTTGCACTTAATAACACCAAAAGGGAACTGCAACAAAAGGTGAGAAAGGTAACCCTGGCGTGAGCCAAATACCCCTACATCAAGTTTGTTACTTAGCCGATTTAGTGTCTTCACGCAACGGCGCTCCTTCTCTGCTTGTTTGACTTCGGCTACAAAAGCCAACTTAAATGACGAAAATAATGTAATTGTGTAGTGTGCAACATCAATATAGGCCGAGAACATGATGTCTCGTAAGAACTGTCCAGCAGTGCAACTTAGTTTAGATATATATGAACCTCACTTTTTACGCTTAAATGAACCCTGGACATGCACATTATTGAATGCAACGAGTGAAATAATAGAACATTTAATTCAAATTTTCTCATCCTCCTTCATAATGTCCAGGAGACCTAACTGAAGAAATATGTGAGAAAATAAGGTCACTCGCAACACGGCAATCTCACTCGAATCTGACGCTAACAGGCTGAGAAAAAAAATACCACAAGATAATAATTGGTGATAGTTTATAGCGAGAGCTTGAGCAAATCCGGTAATACTTCCCTCTCTCTTCTTTCTGTTCTCAGATAAACAACATCAGCAAGATGGCCGGGCCCATAGGACCTCCGGGATTCAATGGAAGTCTAGGACCCATTGGACCTCGGGGATTCAATGGAAGTCAAGGATTCGCCGGACCTCCGGGATTCAATGGAAATCAAGGACCCGCGGGACCTAAGGGATCCATGGGGCCACCAGGCCCCAAAGGAGCTGGAAACTTCAGCGCATGTCAGTACAAAACTAAGACGGGAACTACTGGTGGAGGATCCTCAGACGTCTCGGACGCCTCCGTGGACGAACCTAGAGTAAGTTAGTACATCTTGTATGTAGGTTTACTGTTAATTACTTTTTCCGTCATTTCAGCAAAAGCTAGTTAAGTTTAGTTTGCTTTGACCTGAGAAAGCTCAGTTGCTGTGTTCCAAGGCTGACCTTTCTAGTATTTTGCAAATTAACAGATATAACAGTGAATCAGAGATCCTTGAAAGTTGTCTTATTTCTCTTTTCAGGGTTCGGTTATAATCGCAGCGACCTGCTCCACAAATTATGCTGCAGAATATAACCTTCTTTCCGCGATGATACCCCCGAGACGATATGTATGCAATTGTAAGGGAAGGTCAAGCCAATTTCATCCTGGTAGAGGCGAGTCTAAGACATGCTACCTTCACTACTGGCTCTGCCCCAAAACTTAAACCTATAAAATATATCTGTCAGTAGTACTAACACTAACAGGTTTAAGTGACGGCCTGAAGGGGCTTGACGCAAGGATATTGCTGTTTTAGGTGGATTTGCTTAAGTCGTTACTTAGCCCCTTTAAAGGGACTGTGTCACGGCAGTCCAGTTCATTTTGTTTAATTTTGCCAATTACTCGCCCTCAATCACTATGGAACTTAAAGTAAGCAAAGAAATTACATGTAAATGACAAAATCAGAGACCCGAGACAAACAAATATGTCTCCTGAGCATTATTCGTGAAGTTGCAAGCAGCAGGGGTCAACTTTGAAAAACTGTTAGGCTGAACAGTTTTCAAAAATCCTAATTTCAATCCGTTTCAATCTCCTTCAGTTTTGCCCATCCGTGACATCTGTTGTTTCTGTTATGTTATTTTAACCTTCCCTTAAAGTTTTAAGCGGTTATTTTATGCTTCTCTTAATTTAACGGGCATTTTGTAATTTCCTAATTTGGCTGAATTTCGTGACACAGCTCCTTTAACCATTCACAAAATGCTCCTGCAGAGTCAGAAATAAATATATCAAAACAAATTTTAACAGGGAGCAGTAACCATATCAATTTTTGGTGATTTTTGTGGGCCTAGATTAAAAACGTTTAAAAATTGGTCCAATATTTCAAGTTCAGAATTCAAGCCCATCCTTGCCATGCGTAGTAACAGACGAAAGGAAACAACTGCACTGTTGCCTTAAATATAATAAAACTGGACCTTTTTTGGAATTCAATTGATATGAAGATGTATTTTGATATGAAGATGTATTTAAGCTTTTTGTAAAATAGAAAATATCAGGACATAGCCGCTTTGAACGGAGGGGACGACGCCTCGTCCCTCTCGAAAGACAGGCTTTTTATAATTTATTATAGTGATCGTGAGTTGCGTTTCCTTACTTTTAACCCTTTATGCTTTTCCATTTTTATGGTGCTAAAGTGGAAAGTTTGATTAAAAAAAAAAAATTAAACATAGCGTCTTAAATTATTATTTAATTTCAGTTATTCTTGGCTTTTTTGTTTAATGGGGCAGTGATATTATTCAAAAATGGAAGACGTAGGCTTAAAGGGTTGAGGAGATAAAACCGCTTTAATCACAACTGTTAATCTTCTTTACAATGACGCTAAGACAACAAAAAATATGGAGCAGCATTTCGGAAAAAAGCTGCACCAGGTAACATGTGCCGAAAATTGAACTTCTCTCTGGACACCTGTATAAGGCGGACACCTGTAAAACGATTTTTACAGCTGCGTCTGGTAGAGATAAATTTCCGCTGAAAGTTCAAGTAAATAAAAGGTTCCTGTTCCGTTATGTCGACCCCTCTGATCAAAAAGCTTTTGACAAGTGCTAACACAGTAACTTTAAAATGTAAGCTATACATAAAACTATTATTCGCGATAATTATAGCATAATAAATTAATTCAGACAAAAATGTGCGCACCCAGTATCGATCAGTTACAAAATGACTGAAGAACGATTAAAAGTGCTTAAGGCAACGTTCTTAACAGAAAATAGTGTAGTGAGGCTAAATTTAGATAAGTTATTGTTAATGTAAATAACAAACATTTGAACTGTGAATAAATTATTTTATGACTTTCACAAAATGGCTCTTAATCGCTTACTTTCGGATCTAAGGGGCATGCTGTCATCCGGGTACTAGCCTTTAAAAAGAGCCGGAGCTGCCACATGTTTAGTCTGCTACACAGCCGTTTTTCAGTGTCGTCAGGCAACGCTCCTCCCCACTAAGTGTGGAGGAGCGTTGCGTGACGACACTGAAAACGGCTGTGTAGCAGACTACCAAATGTTCCGATCCTTCACCAACGGTGAAAACACGGACAAATCCATGGGCTATGGGCGACACGTTGCAATTATTAAATGAATATTACCTGAACAAAATTCCCGTCTCTCATCATTTCCTTTCTTCTTTCTTCGCCCTAAACGGGCGACCTTGGCCCTCACCCGATAACTGGTCTATCATTCCCCGGGGTTAATATTAAAGAGCGTCACTTTCTGGTAACCAGGCTCATCCAGGCTAGGACTCTTGTCACCAACTGATGATTTTATCAGGGTACAGACTAAGGAGATGCTCACACTTAACCGGATATAGCTTTTGCACCGGCACGAAAATCTACTGTGGAGAGTCACAACGGATAGGTTTTCACACTGTGCTGTATAGCTTTTGCACCGGCACGAAAATCTACTGTGGAGAGTCACAACGGATAGGTTTTCACACTGTGCTGTATAGCTTTTGCACCGGCACGAAAATCTACTGTGGAGAGTCATAACGGATAGGTTTTCACACTGTACTGTATAGCTTTTGCACCGGCACGAAAACTAAGACGGGGCTTCCGTTCACACATGCATGAGAACGGTGATCTCCGATCTTCAAATTGGTTAGTCACATATCGGATAGTTGAGAACATACAATTTAACATAAGACTACGGTTTTGTTTACTGTTTACTGGACCAAACGAACCAATCTACAATGATGACACTAATTCTGACTTGCCTTTCTGTGCATTGACCAGCAATTAATGTTACTCTCTAAGAATCGTCACTATTGTAAATAAGTTCTACAAAGGCAAGGGTTAAATCGGTCCCAGCAATTATCAAAACCGATTTTTCACGGTTTGCATTAATGTGACAGCCTTCAGGAATGACCCTACGAGAATAATTAATTAATATTTTTAATGACGGTACCAGGTATCGGGATAACGTGAGGACCCCATCTGTTCCTCCCCATATATAGATATACATGCATCATTGTTAGGAGAGGAGACTGGTTATGAAAGCCGGCAAACATCAAAGATGAAAACAACGGTGCTGTAGTTTACGTTGGAAGCTCCCTGACAGTGCACAATCCTTTGCTTTTTCCGTGGTATGCCTTTGGCACTCCTACGGTAAAAAATCCGGTTCGGTTGTACCCAAAATTAATTGCAAAGCCAGCCAATAGGATTGCCTAAAATCTCTATCGATTATCTCTTCTTCCAAGCGGACCAATCAGATTGTACAAATCTGTATCGATTTTTAATCGATCTGCTTCCTCTGAAGAACGTTGAAATCAGAACGTTCCTTGCCAAATTTGTCGCGCTTGAGTTTTCCCACTCGTGGTTTAGGATGGCTTGTTAACCAGCGAAGTCCTTCGGGATACTGGCAAGTCACGAAAGGCGACCTAAGCCAAATTATTTCTTTCCTTCATGATTCATTTTTGTTTAGGTCTAGCTTTTTCATAAGGTTTTAGTAGCGTCTGGTTACGGGCCGTGATTTCCGATAGATTTTTCTATTCGGAGTTCGCCAGTTTTTGCCGAGCACAGTTAGAGTTCAGTTTTCTTCTTTTCTTATCGAAAACACATTGACGATGGGAGGTTAAATCGCCTAAATTTCAACTCGTACCCTTGACGACTGGCGTTGAAATCGCGAAAATACTGTCCTCATCGATCGACGACTCGCTTTCGGCATGGCTGGACTTCTGGATGGGACACGGATCAGGACCTTGGAATCAGGGATAATCATTGGAACTATGTTAACTTTGAGACCTTGGAAACACATTGCAATTAATTTTTAACCGTATCAAGAGCATCTTGGAATATTAAACTTTCATCTTGGATTAAACATTGGAACTTTATCGAACTTTGTAACCCTGGGTTCGACCCTGGATAAAGCAAGCGGATGTTTTGTTTTGTTTTGATCCATTAACCTAGATAGAACGCCATTATGCTTCCATAGACCAACGCATCCCACGGAAACGACTTTAGGCGTCTTGTTGTTCAAAAATTGTGACTGAATAAATTAATGCGATGTTTCTATAAGCTCAAAATGATAGGAAGGCGATTGAACGTTGTGCACGCTCTAAAAAAGTCTAAAAAAAAAACGAAGAAAAACATATAACAAAGAAGTCTTACATGCTTCATGACCATTCTCCTTTATTAACTATGCATACATGTCAGAGCAGGTATTTTCCCTTTTTCTTCCTTCCTAAGTGGGGTCAGGGTTTCAAATACCCCCAAATACCCTTGGGACGAATGCCTTTTGGAATCCAATTAACGACTGAAGTGACAAAACACAATCCGCTTCTCATCAGTTCCCTGATGAATCCAAATCAGAAATGTTCTCATGATAGCCACCGCAAAAAAGCCTGTTTCGGACAGTAACGGTCTACGCAAGTAACAACTGAGGATTAGCGCTTTAAGCCAGTGGAGAGGATAGGCTAAAACAGCCAAAAAGGTAGGATCCTCGGTAATTTATGCATCTTTTAGCGTTAATAGGTCAAAATTTGCGAACATTACTTACCATGACTCGAAGGTCATTCGTTTTTTGGTCAAATCAGTTTACGAATAAAAATAGTTATCAATTTGACACCTAGAGGTCTTGGCAGATAAACTGAAGCGCATGAGGCTGTAGTTTATTGTATCAGTGTTATTGGGAGCTCAATGGCGGTCATCACAGAACTCGCGCGACTCTGTATCACGTTGGATGTTCCCAGCTTCCTTGTGGGCAATTTGTACTTCGAACTTCAAGTTAACGTTTATCAAATTACATTTACAATTAACAATTAGCTTCAGCTGTAGCTTGTCAACTGGCAATGGTAAGTTTAGAATTTGTTAAGCACTTGTACGTTTTAATAGTGTGGGTCACTAATTTTTAATATGGCCCTTATACAGTAGTTTATTTAACATTAACCTGCCAGAGCAGTCAGTGACGGAAATATTTTGCTGCCAGATCTGATATAATCCTATTCAAAATTCTGTTAAACCAGAAGTTTGTGAGGCTTATTTGTCAAATGTATCTCTCACGTGAACTACTCATGCAATGTATAGAAACATAGAATGCACATTTCCGTGATAGTGAGTTGAAGAGTATCAAGGTCTGGCATCTTTCATGTAATTAGTGGCATTATATTACGTAAGAACTATCATTACGTAATAATAGATTTCCCTGCTTTTCCTTCCTCCTTTCCGTTCGTTCCTTTTTTAGAGCCTCCCTTCACGAAATTAAAACTAATTTCAGGCTTTTCATCGAAATATTTTACTTTCGAAACCTCTTGATTGTCACAAAGCCTAGCTGAATAACGAAAGACGTGGAGGTAGGGAACCTATTTTTTTGAACGTATCACGTTCGAAGTTAGCCTGCGAAAACATCCATTTCTCTTCGCTCTTCGCCGCAGGGAACGTTTCGCACGGCGAAGAGCGAGGAGAACCGGATGTTTTCGCAAGCTAGTTCGAAGTTCGCTTAGCCATGTAGCCTAGAAAGCTCAAAGATCGCTCTCTTTGCAACGAAAATCAAAGAAAAACCGTTAAACAACAATTTCAACGTTGTCACAATACAAATGACACTTCGGTCCTTTTAAAGCCAACATGCCCTATAGTTCAGTACTCTCTATAGACATTTAGTTCTGCCCTGCCTATTTGTGAAACAAAAACGACCATAAGGGCCAGAGTATATTTTAATACTCTAAACCCTGTAAGAGGTACCAATCCACTCGACAACTTTTACCCCTAGGAGCACCCCCAGTCTTCTTACAGGGCAGTATCACCCCCACCCCACCCCAGGGAAGATGTGAGGACATTCACATGAGAAATCAAGAGCCGAGGACGAGTGATTTACAAGCTCTTCGAACGTTTTTCGTTCTTCTGCTTTTATATTACAATGATCTGTAATTTTCTATCAGTTTACGTATATAACAAACAATAGGCTTATAGAACACGCGAAGTACCTCAGTTACTTTATAAAAAGCCAAAATATATTCATTGACTCTCCAAACAACAAATATGACAGTCTTTGTTTACCTTAGCCACTACAAACTTTCTAACTAAGCTGTACTGACTACAAACGAACAAGTTTCCAAGTGCTACTATCCCTATTATGTTTGCGTGTTTTATTTTTCTCCGTGGTATCAGTCAGTCTGCAGAACCGGGCGGCACACCCCCACCAGGAATTCGCAGGAGTACCCCCTCCCCCCCCCGGGCTTTACACGCTCGACAATCTGACAGGTTTCTTACTATGCAAGTGCTACTATCCTATTATTGCTTGCGTGTTTTGTTCGTGTCTTGCAAATACTTTTCTCCATGGTGTCAGTTTTTTCGCTCACTTTGCGTGTTCTTTGTTCTTATGCTCGGCAATCTGACAGGTTGAAAATTAATTACTTTCTAATTGCACGATGATCAAATATTTTGATCCCTTTTGGCAGTTCGTAGATGTGTTTAAAAACGCTGACATATTAAATTCTGGAAGCAGAATACTGCAATGCTGATCGTAATACGTGAAAATTAACTGTGCAAGACATCAACACGACACCGAAAGAACTCAAAACAGAGCGGGATTGTAGCCATAGACAGCTGTTTCGCTCTCTTTGTCTTTATAGATCCTAGGTTCTTCGGCATATTCGTTTGCGGCCCTTTGCAGTCCCTTGTGGTTTTAAATGTTTGTACTTTAAAAACGCTATCCAAGACTAAAAATAGAAAAATGTGCTGAAACTAGTTCCATTAGAAAGGGACTATTAACAGATGATGTGGGGTTAATCGTCTTACTGATTAAGTATACTCAGCTTATCTGTGACTAATGAAACTGATCCTACAAACTGGGGCTTTTTTTTTCGCGCCTAGGTGAAAAGGAGTGGCTAGTTCAATAAAAAAAGTCTTTACCATAAAGCAAATCATCTACTTGTTTATTGCGCTATTCACACCGACTAAGCATGTTTAATAAAACCCGGTTTTGAAAAATAAAGCAGACATGTGAAACTGGAACACAGGTTTCTAAACAGGATTCAAATGAAATTCAAAATGTTTTGTCATTGCACTAAATTTGCAATCATAGTAAGCAGGTTTTATTATGAAGGAAACAATTTTAAACCGTGTTTACTAAACAGCCAAAAAGTCGAACTAAAAAGTAACCTAGCGATCCCCGATCGTCTTTGTCGCATGGCTTCAATTGCTACCCGGCTTCTCCTGACGAATCAACACGATCGCTGAACCTACCGGTAGAACTCTTATCATGGCGGTCTTGTAACCTGCCACTTTTAGTATCCTCTGAGATCAGTAAGATTGTACGTATCGTAAACAACATCATTTGTCCATCCCTTTTAGGGACGAAAAAACTGGCAAATCAACTCGAGGAGATTAAGATCCAAAACACGTGAGGATTGTTTCAATAAGCTAAGATAAGGTGCATATGTTTGGCTAGAGTTTTAACGTTTCCCTCAAAAATCGTTGGGTTAAACACAACATTACTAGATGTATTACCGCGAGTCACCAAAGCCTACAAAATGATATTTGCCAACAGCTGAACAGTAGAAAGAAGATAGTCTATATTTACAGGAATATAAGTTTATGTGATGTTCTACTCTTCAACCTCTTTACCAAGGCACAGACCGGACAGAATGATTGGCACGAAAGGTTCCTGTGCGAGGTGCGGCCCCTACCCAGGCCAATCCCACAGCACATCAAAGTTAAACAAGTTTAAATCAGTAACCAAAAGGCTAAACGGACGAAAACTCTTTTTTTTTTCTTTTGTTTTAGAATCAGCAGTGGAACGAATAAGCATTTTTTCCGATAGAGAATAGGTACATAATTGCAAGGGAATGGGCTCCTGATAATTGTTCGTATAGTCATAGAGGGATGGAATTAAGCCTCGTTGGTGGATAGCTAAGGATAGTTTAGGGATAGTCGCTTTAGGGATAGTCTATGACGTCACCCATTGTTTTAACCTAGAGAAAACACGAAAGAAACTACTACAGAGAAACTACTCTCCACTAGACTATCCTCTGCATTTGACGAGGTGATCTAGACGCATGGTTGACAACAAACAAATAGCAAGCTTCAGCTTTCAAGTTCTCAGCCCCAAATGTTAACCTTTTGTGTCGACTTAAAAGAATTTCAATTAGTACACAACATTAAAAATTGTCAATATCAAACTTAGCTTTCCCAGCGCACTCGCCACAGGTAACAATGCCCTATAGTTTTTCTGTTATAGGAGATCGAAACAAAAGATAAACCGAGGGACTTTTAGTAGCAGGGTAACAATTTCGATGAACTTAAGTTGCATGAACTAAAGTTAAATTCAATTTCCTCTGTTACAAGCATACGCTCGAGACCAAATTACAAGACCTCGAGAAGATGTTGAACTCTTCACGACAGGTTGCAGAAGAAGCGTCTTGGAAACATTTGACGGCGCTGTGGTCCGCAGAGAATAATGCAAAGAAAGAAATTGACAAGGTGTGGACTGCGATGAACGAAACAGGAAAACAACTTGACGAGAAACTAGTGAAAATACGACACAACCTTACTGGGCAGGTAACTGAACCGTTGTAAAGTTACGACTCATAACTTCCCTCTGCGTCGGCACGAGCAATTTTTTTCATAGGCGGATCAATGGCTAAAGTTATAGTTTATTAGGTAAAACTTGGCAAATTTTGATTCTGTACCAGTCCTTCTGCCATAGTATAGAGAATGGCACTGAATCAAACTTCGGCAACAAAAAGTAATTTTGATCAGGTGATTTGTCGCGTGACCAAAAGGTAGAAGAATACTTCAAGATTTTCATTCAGGGAAAAAATTTTACTCCGCTGCTCTACTTGAGATGAGCTAAAGAATAATGTTATCAATAAATTAAATTTTCGTACATATACTATTTTGGAATACACCAGTTAAATAACGAACATTCAGATAATCCAGCTGTGTAGTGTGCTTCATCACATGAAGCAGTATAGGCTATGAACTGGATACCCAGAACTTAAATTGATCATGATATGCACGGAAGAATTGTCCAGCAAGATATTTTAGGTATATATGCATGCTTTCCAAACTTCCCAAGTCCTTCAGTATATGCTCCCCGCATGTAAATGATGACTTTTTAAAAATGTAAGTGAACTTTGACATACAGTGTAGCGAGTAAAATGCCTTCGGCGAAATTATAATTTTTTTTTATAATAAGATCTCCTCACTGCGCGCAGTATCTCACTCGCGTACTAAGGAAAAACAAGGATATAACTTGTGATTATTGCATGATAACTAGCTTGAGCGAATGCAGTAACACTTCGCTTGCTGTTCTTAGATTAACAACGTAGGCAAAATTGCCGGACCCGTTGGACCTCCGGGATTCAATGGAAGTCAAGGACCCGCGGGGCCTCCGGGGCCCAAAGGAGCTGGAAACTTCAGCACGTGTCAGTATAAAGTAAAGACAGAAGCTCGTGGACGAGATCAAACGGCCTATGTGGACGAGCCCACTGTAAGTCAGTACAAGTGTAAGGTGTAATACTTGTTTTCTTACTTTGTCAGGCAGCCCCGTTCAATTGCACACCTGACTTAAAGAGCCTACAGTATGTCACGACGATATTCCTCGTATATTTTATGCTAATTCTGTGTTGAAGTCATCACTTAGTACTTTAACAAATTTTACCAGGGGGCACTAACCATGATACTTTTTTGTGATTTTTGCGGGCGAAAGGAAACAGTTTCAATACCTAAATAAAATCTTAAATAACAAAACTGGTTTAAGCTTGCACAAGGCTAATGAGATAATTTGTATGCTTCTTATCCAGTTCGTGGACAGAAGATGATTATTGTTCTTATTAATTTTTAGTTATTCTTTTTACATTTAGTGAAAAAGTACAACTCCCTATTTTTTTCTCCCTTATATTTTAAAAGTTGCCTTCACTAGAAAAAGATGCGAGAGCGTCACACGGCTAAGGAGAAGCACAAAAAACTAACCCTCTATATTGTCTTGTTTCTCTTTCCAGGGCCATATTATAATAGCAGCAACCTGCTCTACAAACTACGCCGAAGATATTGAGTTTAGATCCGCCATTGTGGTCCATCCAAAACGGCGATATATATGCGACTGCAGGGGCGTCAAGTATAGTAGGCAAAACCCTAAGAACTGTTCCCTTCACTACTGGGTATGCGTAAAAACGTAATTACGAACAAATCCACAGCAGAAACAGTTTGAGGTAATTTTCAAGCGCAAAAGAAAAGACGCCTTGTCTTTCGAAAATGACGTATCTGACGCTTTAAACGATTCCTTTCTACCTCCCCTTTCCTATCTAAATTAGTTCTAAGAGTTTCGATAAACGGCTCTTATTTTAATAATTCCTTAATATGTGAAAAGTTCGTCTTTATAAAGAAATTCAACATTGCAAGGTTAATTAAAATCTCCTTTAATCTGGACACCTTTTGTTTAGAGGTTGGTAATTTATCGAAAAATTAGACGCTATAATAAGTTGCGCGCCTATCTAACTTTACAAAGGAGGTGTGAAAAAATGGTTAGAGGAAATACTGCACCGTTTTATATTGCGAAACTTGAGCGAAGTCATATCAGTCATGTTTATCTGTTCCAGGCTATGTCGTGGTCAGTTACAAATGTTAGGTCAGGTGAGCTTAAATCATAACAAAGCACTAATCTATTCTCAGATAATTTTTTAATTACTGGCAAAAAGAAAGATTGCGAATGATCCTATCCAAGAGGAAAAAAAGCAGATTTGATTTTTAGTCACTCAACTTCCGTAAAGCTTCTTCCAACAGAACTTCGATGTTGACTGAAATTTGCAGCACTTACTGAAACGAACGATCGAAGAAAAATTTCAGCAAAAAATCAAAGCGTGTAACAAGACCATTGTAGAAAATTTTACTTCTCCAGACAAATAAAAAAAAAATAAAAATAAAAATTCTTTCAACATACGAGTTCGTAACTTTGATTTCAGCTATTCATATAACTATAATGGATTACAGCTTTTAAATTAATTTAAGACGAACATGGTCAAATAATCGATCAGTTCTCAATTAACGACTGAAGAACGGTTAAACTAAAACAGCAATGTTCTTGACATAATACATGTATTAATATGTATCAAGGTTGAATTTCAAAAAAACATATTGTACATATGAGATGTATTTTAAGAGATAATAAATTATTTTGTGACTTCCACGTACTGGCTTTTACCTTTAACAACGCTACGAGCTAGGGTTGAGGGCTACGGAGATCCTCCCATATATTTTTTTCGAATACCCGTCCGCATTAGGTTATCACTTTCAGGCGAACAAGCGGATATACCGAAAACATTTCTTTTTTGTGAGAACAGGCTTAAGTCTCGTTTCTCTCTTTGAACTTTCTCAACTTTGCTCAAAACTTATCCTGATGGTAGAACTAGGTAGGTAAGTAAGAGCTGCGGGTAAATCATTCCTGATCGTGGTTACAACTTCTCACAGTCAAATTTCCTTATCTTACAGTGTAACTGGGGACATGAAAGAAAAGACTCAAAACACATCTTATCTACCACGCCCAGAGGACAGATTCACAGATCTCTTCTCAAATAAAAGTTCTTACATATCTGATCTCTATCATCTTCCCCTTATCTTTCCCGGGTCTGGGGAAGATGAGAAGGGGGGGTGTGCGTTCAACTGACAAATTGTAAAATCAAGCCTTGATGTCGTTCCAGCTGATTTCAGAGGTTCGCGGTTGACATTGATGTCAAAGAGGCATCACCTGTCACGTTGAAAAACACCGCGTTACCTCAAAGGCGATACGGCGTGGTCAGTGAAATAGACTCTTTGATGCTATTGGTTATGCAGTTCTATGACGTATACGAGGTCTCCTTTATCACGGAGGTCTCACCCATCTCGCTACAGGCGTTGTCTCTTTTGCTGTGCAGTTGCTTTTTGAAATTAAAAACAGGCTGGGAATGAGGTAACGCCGGCGAGGGTGAACTAAATGTCCGCTCTGAAAGTGCCGTGTAGAAGCTGACTCGTCCCCTGTCGTCTCTCACAATCCCTTCCTAGTGGCGCGCGGGATGTCACCCCCTGTTCCCGCCGTGCGCTTTACGCGAAGACGACTGGGGACGAGTCAGGCCGGTGTAGAGGAGGTCGGCAACATGTAGCAATCACATGACGACATCGTGACTGGTCTCATGAGTACCTTGTTTTAAAAGTCGAAACCAGAGGTCGGAAGCCCCTGATCAGCTTTCGCACCCGCGGAGTTAACACTTCTAATACACAAGAGAAAAAAGGGGATCACAGGGTAGAAAACCCCTGCTGCGAAGTCCAGATGGAATCCAAACCAACAAATGACGCAGGAATCTATTTGGAGGTGGTAAATGGAGAAGCTCCTGCAAAACAACAAACAAGCCTTGAGTATCAAGGTCCCGCTACCAAGAAAAATCCCTTATCACCAATAGATCCTGCACATTCAGACAAATTTCTTCAACTTCGGCGAATGTTGTGGATTGTTACTGCTGTGGCTTTCATTTCTCTCGTGACTTCTGCTGCAACTCTCATCTTAGCTTTGAGAGTGAAAAATTCTCAGAATGTTTCGACTTCCCCTACGATTGTAAAGCACGAGGTAAGAGAATCGGCACTATTTTTAGATTCGTGAATTCCTAGTCTTCCTCCGGTGATGTATACTATTACGCTGGGACAAAGTCAAGGGAAACACAAGGACTCGGGGAAAACAAAACTAACTGGTTTCGCGAAGGGCCTGACATTAAGTGTTTTGTTATACCTCTAGACTTTCACTTCAACAGCAACAAAAGAATAACCGGGGCGAATCAAAACAGTCGACTCGGTAATTACAGCAACACAAAGTTAATTCTTAAAACCCGGCTGAATATGATTTACAAAGTACTTTCCTTATATTATCTGCATCTTTATCGTCCACAAGCGGCTCTTTCTCTTCTGGGATAACTTTGAAACTCGTTGTTTCTTAGCTTGAGGCTTACGCCACTTAGCATCATGCTTTGATCACGTGCTGTAATGTATCCTGTGCGGGGTACAAATGTATCACGATCGGACGATCGGGATACACAAAAATCAACCACTGGTAGTCCCTGTTTAGTCGAGAGAAAGTCTAGGAATATAACAAAATTAAAGCATATGTTATCTTGGTAAATTACTTTGCTCATTTCAGTATTACGAGAATTTTCTTATGCTACTACGGCTAAATTTAGGAAAGATGCAACCGCTTTGGTACACAAAGATATTTCAGTAATGGTGTGAGCAAAAGGAATTTTGACATTTTGAAATTTTCCAAACATGAAAACAAAACTTGATCGTCTGCCCCATTTTCTGCCCCAGTTTCAATCTAGTTCCTTTCTGCCCGTCCTTTATCAAACTGAGACTATTTCTAAGGCCTGGAATAAACACCACAAGATTTCACGGGCTGCAGCAAAACAATCCTACACAAGTTTTTTCCTAGTCAGTCCCCGGCCCCGGGGCTGGTGTATTCGTCGTCAGGTATATCATGTACTGCCCACCCCTTTTACCTGAGGACTTTCACAATGAGAAAACTATCAGAATTCAAAGAAACAGTGCTCTTGATTCCTTTTCAATTTCCCGTGAATTTACAGCTAAAACGTTTCTGTCTGTGCGACAAGAACCAGTCAAGTACGAATTTGAAGTGATTGTCAGAATGCCTTGTTGGCCACGAACTAGCACAGAATTTAAATTTGGTCTCACTGTACTTCCGAGAAAACAGTGTAGAAATAGATGTGGACATAGTAAAAAATATATATATAATGGTAAACTTTCTCTGTTTAAAATCTACTAATTAATGAAGGATCTCAGTCTCCGAAAATCTAATGGCCCATTTTTTTTTATAATCTAAAAACTTTCAATTTTAAGGCCTTTTTTCACATGCAAATGAGGCATACCTCATCCAAAATGCCAAAAGTAAAAATCATGTCCTGTTTTGCCACACTTGGTCCTAGCCAGTTTCAGTTGCTCATATTTACCGGTAGAACTCTTATCATGGCGGTCTTGTAACCTGCCACTTTTAGTATCCTCTGAGATCAGTAAGATTGTACGTATCGTAAACAACATCATTTGTCCATCCCTTTTAGGGACGAAAAAACTGGCAAATCAACTCGAGGAGATTAACATCCAAAACACGTGAGGATTGTTTCAATAAGCTAAGATACTGGGGCACCCAATGGATCTGTTCCTCAAAATATCTGTTCTTCAGGCAATTTTTCGCTGGCTGGGAGATTTGGAAAAAATAATATGTCCTTGAAAGGTGAAATTGTTGCTGGGAAATAGACAGTTCAGGATGTCTGAGGGGATTTGGTTCTTTGGTGTCTCGAATAGCTGGTATGTGCTATTTCTGAGACCCACCCGCCAACCACCCCTCCCCCCCCCCAACTACCCCCCACTGAAGGGCTGAAATTTCCCTATGTCCACAAACAAACTGGCCAGTAATGTCTGGACTTTCGTTTGCTGGGAAACTTCCCAGTAAGTGAGGTTGGAGGTTGTAGGTGCACTTTGCTGGCTGGGAACTCTTCCATCAGTCTTGCTGGGAGTGAGGAACAGATAAATTTTTCCCAGCAATCTCCTAAAATGCTTAAAATGGTTTCAGAAAGCTTGTTCATGCTTTGTTGCTGTTTTTACGTCTTTTTCTGAAAATTTCCCGTTGGGTGCTCCTGTGTATTGATGTCAGTTAAGAATTTAACTGGAAGAAATTTGTGCTCGCTCTTGCTGTTGAAACAGCGCTAACATCAAATCCAGATTTGTTTTTGTCAAAGTTGTCACAACGCCTTTTGATAGCTGTTAAAACGCTGACTTTTTTCAACAGCTACAAAACGCAACCGTTAGACTTGATCAACAAGACGTCAACTTGAAGTTGCTCTTGAGTGAAATTAACAGCACCCTCTCCTTAAAAGTAAAGCTGATATTGCCTTACAAATATATGGCTTTCCCCGTAGACCTGCTCTCATTTTGTTCAATTTTACAGCTATAAGTATAGTTTTCCGAGGGGGATGACGAGTGGACCAAAAAAAAGCTGGGCTTTTTTGTTAATCAAGGCACTATCACTGTGTCGTAATGTAGAATCAAATTTTTTACACACTCTGTTAGCGAGGCTTTAAAAATGGAGGCCCCAATTTTCATAGCAAAACAACATAATCGGCATATCTTTTACGCAACAATGCAAGTGGCCTCGAGCCGGGTAACTTAAATATGTGGATTTTTGTAGTTGTTGTTGTTTTTTTCCCTTATTGGTTTTCATCTTTCTAATGACCTGTGCAATGTATGGAAACGAAGCACATAAAGAAAAGATAAAAATTTACGCATTTCTTTTCAGGTAGAGAATGTCAGCAAACTACCGGGCCCAGTCGGCCCTCCTGGAGTAAACGGTTCCCGAGGCCCGATGGGTCCAGAAGGACCCCAAGGATTCAACGGATCCCAGGGTGCAATAGGTCCTCAGGGATTTAACGGCTCCCAGGGGTTGATTGGACCACAGGGTCCCCAGGGTGCTGGGGACTTCTCTTTGTGTAAATACATGACCGAGTCTTCAACGGGACGTCAGTCGCCAGTAAGAAGCCTTTCTCCTGGCGCTGGTATTAAAGTAGTTCTCGGGGAACCAAATGTAAGTTTATGATCATTGTTGTTATTAATTATAACGATTATCATTGTCATTATTATTATTTATTATTATTATTATTATCATTATTATTATTATTATACTTTTGTGGGTTTTATAGGTGTTTGCGCTCATTCAGTGAGTGTCAGTAGTTTGTTTATCAACTTCAAATACACTCGTGCATTCAAACTCTACTTAAAAATTGTCTAATACTTCTTTGATTTGGATAACAGAAAATGCTCCTTTGAGATAATATAAAATCAAGATAATATAAAATGCTCAAGCTAAAGAGGTTTATATGCAGACGTAGTGACCGGAAAAAAAACTTGAAATATCCCACGTGCTACCCGCCGCTCATCGCACAATATGCAACTAGTTTCTACATTTCTAATTGGCTGTATTCTTTATGGGATATTAATAATGATGAAAGCTGGCAATAACTTAAGTTTGCCCCATCATTCGCTTTAGGCATAGTTATTTAAAGCCGTCCTTATGGTATATGCATAAGTTTATTTATTTATTTATTTATTTATTATTTGTTTTTGCTCTCAACACTCATGGCTAATTTGGTCCTTTGTTTGTTCATTTTATTTTTTGTGCGTATATTTCCCTTTAGAGAAGAACATGTTTTTCATTTTTATTCTTCCAGGACAAGAGAATAGTTGGTGTGTCATGCTCCACGAACCGAGCCCAGATGTATCTTCTTTCAAGCGGAATCAACCCATCCAACGGTCAACGGTTTTATTACTGTGACTGTTTTGGACATTTTGGCTCTGGTTGGCAGTCTGTGACTTGTTTTATGAGGTACTGGCTTTGCCCTCTTTCAACATAATACTCAAGACATACCATCTATCTTAGATAATCACACGAATTTCAAGAGTAATTTGGAATACGTAAGCACATAACTAAGTTAAGACCGTTCACGAAGCTAAGCCACCATGGATAAATGGATCCTCTTTTAAAGAACTTTATTCGAAAGTAACATTGGCCTTGTCTTCGATTAACCCAACCAAGACACAGGAACCGCTCGGCTTCCCTGGATGGCTCTTAAAAGGGAACGCTCGGACATTTTGGCTACGCGCCCACCAGGGACAGGAGAGAAAATTTTAATGCCCATAACACATTAGCTCCCCAACTCTGGTTATTAATAATCAGAGTAAGTTTTTTGGTCTTCCTTCAGAACGAAAACCAATAAATGATCAACTCAATATATCTGAGAATGGACACTCGGGACCGTACTTCGTGGTGTTTCTGAAGATTTTTTTCTGAATATATATATATACTAGAGGGTTTAAGCATCGCGTTTACGGCAAACGACAAACATGAATTTGTATCGCGTGACCAAGTTTTCCATTTACTTATCGTTTACTCTTCATTATAACTACACGAAAATCGGTAGATTCACGCCAATTCTATCCATAAGAATTGTTTTACTCTGTTTTTATCTGCTCATTTCTCATTTTGAAAAATTTCTCAACTTGAATCTCACGTTTGCCGTTTGCCCTAAACGCAATGCTTGATCTCTGTACTACCAAAATTCTTCTAACACCGGCTCTAATATTGGAAGCTGAGATAAACTCAATCTTTTTTTTTGTTGTTGTAAATTTGATCCCAGTCCCTAGCTTTAAAATGAAAAAAAAAAAAAAAATCACTTTGTAAATATCTTTGTTTAAAAGTAACAGAAATTTTACTAATATAACATTGAGTTTTTCAAAATTAAATTTATGGTGGTTCTTGAACTCTTTAAGTTTTCACAATCAAATGTTTTACAGTTAATTTATGCCAACAACTTTTAAATTCTTGCATCTCCTCTGTTATAGTGACATAGTGTTACGCGTCAGTGTATGTAAAATGATACTTAGCAATCTATTCTGGAAGAAGTAAGCTAAAATTGTAGGTATATCAATATTTAACTTTAAGTTTATTGCAAAACAGTACAAGTGTAACATACCGAAATTAAAATCCTTGTAAATAGTTAATTATCCTACTAGTTGTAAATGCATTCTGTATAACAAATATAAGGCATTTAAGTAAGCCAGTACATTAAAGTATACATTGAAATTTGCTCACATCAGTGTGGTGGGTCCTCATAAAATGTTCTGCATAGAGCTCCTTGAAGCCGAAACCAATTGTTCATCAGTAGCAGGCCTCCTGCTACTGAACGCTTGTAGTTTGATATTCGCAGGAGCAATAATTGTTTGCAATTAATGTCCAAACCATTGCAGTCTATACCCCACCTGTGAATCTCGTGTGAATCGCTTCACATTTATTGTAAATATTGAAGGACAATTCATTTCATCCGTTTAAGTTTGCCGGGATATATAAGGCAAAACAGTGATCCCTGCTCTGCTCCCTTGAAAAAGAAAGTCATAGTTTTGATGCCCATCTTTCTCGTGGCCACAGGCGAGGCTAGCGCCAGCTAGCCTGTTCCAGCGTTCAGATAAAGGAGACGGCGCAAGGAAAAGTAAGCAAGGGGAAAAAGCGAGGCGGTAAGAAAATAGGGTCAGAGGGGAAGAAACTCTTTTTTTTTTTGCTCTCTGTGCTTCACGCCACTCTCCATCATCTAAACTTCTGGGATAGGGTTAACCCCATAAGCAATTCAGCAATCCATAAAGAAAGAAGAGAACATAAAGAGCTGTAGACTTGGGAATTCCAGGAGCAGTTTTTCAAAGTTTCGAGACGTAAGAGAAAATAACACTGGAGCAATGGCGTAAGAGAAGACCCTGAGGTCACGATTGCTAGGGTGAAAAGGCAGGTATTGGCGTTAAAATAATTTACTCGAGAACACAAGAAGCGTGTCTGAATGTGAGCTTGACTCACTTATCCGGAAACGGGATGCTTCGAGGTACTAGCACGATTGCAGGACGACCAATCAAGCTGTCATATCGTAAGATATGAAAAGCTTTTTCTTTCCTGCAATGGCCTTAAAACGCGCGTTAAGTCCACAATAAAAAGGGCCGATGTACATCTTCCATCTATTAGCCTTTTCTTTTTTTAAGTAGAAACCGGGATTCGGGAAAGCGATGTGAAAAGGTGTGGGACGCGGGGTTTTCCTGAAAAAGGAGCGGGAATGCTGGATCATGAGTCCCCGCCCCTTCACCAAACCCTGGGACAACTCAGGGTCTTGAAGTAGCTGAACAAGGAGAAGGGACTTTCTTTTCTTTTTTATCGGCGGTTTAATTATCTGTGTATATACAGCTGACTGGACATCATAAGAGTTAAACTTTTTGATATCACGTCACAGACGTGTTTTATTTTGTTTTATTACACAATAAGAGGGAAAAGACTGTACTGATGTTTATTTAAGCAATAGACCATACTTTCTATGGGCCGGCTCGTGATTTACAAGCTTTTCGCGATCGAGTGTTCTCCCAACATTCCAATTGGGTTATCACGCCGGTAAACCCAAAGAAAGTGTGGTCTATAGGTTTTTAACCAATTAGAACGCGCGTACTATCTTAGTTAGATATTTTATAAAGAAGAAAAAGGGTTAATAAATGGTATATTACTTAATCAGGAGGTTAAAAGTTCCTTATTCCGGTTTCCACATACAAATTCTCCAGACTGATGTTCTCCAAATATTTTTTATACTACAAAAATTAGTGGAGAGAATTTGTTGAAAGATCCGAAGATCAGAGCATTTTTTTTTCCATTATTGATCATGTTATTAGAATTCTTGTAAACATTTCATTGGCTAGGAGTATTTGTTGATATGGGTAGGAGAAAGTTGATGTTGATCACTCTTCAGGGACTGATAGGATTAAGTAATATATCAGACCAAATGGGCGTGGATAAAACTTTGTTTTAAACCAATAATGAAAAGATTACTTAAAATATAATTGATTGATGCTCAGCACCATCATACAACACCATTTAATAAACGTATAAACTTCACTTTGTTAAAAGAACTTGAATTAAGCGATCCACCATGAAATTTTCATGAACATATCCACTGAAGATAAGGTGCATATGTTTGGCTAGAGTTTTAACGTTTCCCTCAAAAATCGTTGGGTTAAACACAACATTACTAGATGTATTACCGCGAGTCACCAAAGCCTACAAAATGATATTTGCCAACAGCTGAACAGTAGAAAAAGATAGTCTATATTTACAGGAATATAAGTTTATGTGATGTTCTACTCTTCAACCTCTTTACCAAGGCACAGACCGGACAGAATGATTGGCACGAAAGGTTCCTGTGCGAGGTGCGGCCCCTACCCAGGCAAATCCCACAGCACATCAAAGTTAAACAAGTGTAAATCAGTAACCAAAAGGCTAAACGGACGAAAACTCTTTTTTTTCTTTTGTTTTAGAATCAGCAGTGGAACGAATAAGCATTTTTTCCGATAGAGAATAGGTACATAATTGCAAGGGAATGGGCTCCTGATAATTGTTCGTATAGTCATAGAGGGATGGAATTAAGCCTCGTTGGTGGATAGCTAAGGATAGTTTAGGGATAGTCGCTTTAGGGATAGTCTATGACGTCACTCATTGTTTTAACCTAGAGAAAACACGAAAGAAACTACTACAGAGAAACTACTCTCCACTAGACTATCCTCTGCATTTGACGAGGTGATCTAGACGCATGGTTGACAACAAACAAATAGCAAGCTTCAGCTTTCAAGTTCTCAACCCCAAATGTTAACCTTTTTTGTCGACTTAAAAAGAATTTCAATTAGTACACAACATTAAAAAATTGTCAATATCAAACTTAGCTTTCCCAGCGCACTCGCCACAGGTAACAATGCCCTATAGTTTTCTGTTATAGGGAGATCGAAACAAAGATAAACCGAGGGACTTTTAGTAGCAGGGTAACAATTTCGATGAACTTAAGTTGCATGAACTAAAGTTAAATTCAATTTCCTCTGTTACAAGCATACGCTCGAGACCAAATTACAAGACCTCGAGAAGATGTTGAACTCTTCACGACAGGTTGCAGAAGAAGCGTCTTGGAAACATTTGACGGCGCTGTGGTCCGCAGAGAATAATGCAAAGAAAGAAATTGACAAGGTGTGGACTGCGATGAACGAAACAGGAAAACAACTTGACGAGAAACTAGTGAAAATACGACACAACCTTACTGGGCAGGTAACTGAACCGTTGTAAAGTTACGACTCATAACTTCCCTCTGCGTCGGCACGAGCAATTTTTTTCATAGGCGGATCAATGGCTAAAGTTATAGTTTATTAGGTAAAACTTGGCAAATTTTGATTCTGTACCAGTCCTTCTGCCATAGTAAAGAGAATGGCACTGAATCAAACTTCGGCAACAAAAAGTAATTTTGATCAGGTGATTTGTCGCGTGACCAAAAGGTAGAAGAATACTTCAAGATTTTCATTCAGGGAAAAAATTTTACTCCGCTGCTCTACATCAGTTAATAACGAACATTCAGATAATCCAGCTGTGTAGTGTGCTTCATCACATGAAGCAGTATAGGCTATGAACTGGATACGCAGAACTTAAATTGATCATGATATGCACGGAAGAATTGTCCAGCAAGATACTTTAGGTATATATGCATGCTTTCCAAACTTCCCAAGTCCTTCAGTATATGCTCCCCGCATGTAAATGATGACTTTTTAAAAATGCAAGTGAACTTTGACATACAGTGTAGCGAGTAAAATGCCTTCCGCGAAATTATAAATTTTTTTATAATAAGATCTCCTCACTGCGCGCAGTATCTCACTCGCGTACTAAGGAAAAACAAGGATACAACCTGTGATTATTGCATGATAACTAGCTTGAGCGAATACAGTAACACTTCGCTTGCTGTTCTCAGATTAACAAGGTAGGCAAAATAGCCGGACCTGTTGGACCTCCGGGATTCAATGGAAGTCAAGGACCCGCGGGACCCGCGGGACCTCCGGGGCCCAAAGGAGCTGGAAACTTAAGCACCTGTCAGTATATAGTAAAGACAGAAGCTGGTGGAGGAGATCAAATAGCCCATGTGGACGAGCCCACTGTAAGTCACTACAAGTGTAAGGTGTAATACTTGTTTTCTTACTTTGTCAGGCAGCCCCGTTCAATTGCACCCCTGACTTAAAGAGGCTACAGTATGTCACGACGATATTCCTCGTATTTTATACTAATTCTGTGTTGAAGTCATCACTTAGTACTTTGACAAATTTTACCAGGGGGCTCTAACCATGATATTTTATTGTGATTTTTGCAGGCGACAGGAAACAGGTTCAATACCTAAATAAAATCTTAAATAACAAAACTGGTTCAAGCTTGCACAAGGCTAATGAGATAATTTGCATGTTTCTTATCCAGTTCGTGGAGGGAAGATGATTATTGTTCTTATTAATTTTTAGTTATTCTTTTTACATTTAGTGAAAAAGTACAACTCCTTATTTTTTTCTCCCTTATATTTTAAAAGTTGCCTTCACTAGAAAAAGATGCGAGAGCGTCACACAGCTAAGGAGAAGCACAAAAAACTAACCCTCTATATTGTCTTGTTTCTCTTTCCAGGGCCATATTATAATAGCAGCAACCTGCTCTACAAACTACGCCGAAGATGTTGAGTTTAGATCCGCCATTGTGGCCCAACAAAAAAGGCGATATATATGCGACTACAAGGGCGTCAAGAATAGTAGGCAAAACCCTAAGAACTGCTCCCTCCACTACTGGATATGCTCAAAAACGTAAATACGAACAAATCCACAGCAGAAACAGTTTGAGGTAATTTTCAAGCGCAAAAGAAAAGACGCCTTGTCTTTCGAAAATGACATATCTGACGCTTTAAACGATTCCTTTCTACCTCCCCTTTCCTATCTAAATTAGTTCTAAGAGTTTCGATATACGGCTCTTATTTTAATAATTCCTTAATATGTGAAAAGTTCGTCTTTATAAAGAAATTCAACATTGCATGGTTAATTGAAATCTCCTTTAATCTGGACACCTTTTGTTTAGAGGTTGGTAATTTATCGAAAAATTAGACGGTATAATAAGTTGCGCGCCTATCTAACTTTACAAAGCTAGGCGGTGTGGAAAAATGGTTAGAGGAAATACTACCCCGTTTTATATTGCGAAACTTGAGCGAAGTCATATCAGTCATGTTTATCTGTTCCAGGCTATGTCGTGGTCAGTTACACATGTTAGGTCAGGTGAGCTAAAATCATAACGAAGCACTAATCTATTCTCAAAATATTTTTTAATTACTGGAAAAAAGAAAGATTTCGAATGATCCTATCCAAGAGGAAAAAAAGCAGATTTGATTTTTGGTCACTCAACTTCCGTAAAACTGTCTTCCAACAGAACTTCGATGTTGACTGAAATTTGCAGCACTTACTGAAACGAACGATCGAAGAAAAATTTCAGCTAGACAAATTCTTTCAACTTACGAGTTCGTAACTTTGATTTCAGCTATTCATATAACTATAATGGATTACAGCTTTTAAATTAATTTAAGACGAACATGGTCAAATAATCGATCAGTTCACAATCAACGACTGAAGAACGGTTAAACTAAAACAGCAATGTTCTTGACATAATACATGTATTAATACGTATTAAGGTTGAATTTTAAAAAAACATATTGTACATATGAGATGTATTTCAAGAGATAATAAATTATTTTGTGACTTCCACGTACTGGCTTTTACCTTTAACATCGCTAAGAGCTAGGGTTGATGGCTACGGAGATCCTCCCATATATTTTTTTCGAATACCCGTCCGCATTAGGTTATCACTTTCAGGCGAACAAGCGGATATACCGAAAACGTTTCTTTTTTGTGAGAACAGGCTTAAGTCTCGTTTCTCTCTTTAAACTTTCTCAACTTTGCTCAAAGTTTTTCCTGATGGTAGTGCTAGGTAGGTGAGTAAGAGCTGCGGGTAAATCATTCCTGACCGTGGTTACAACTTCTTAATGACGCATAAGGCGTCCCCTGGAAAACCTATAGCAATTATTACATTTCTTAGATCCCTCCCACCCCCCAAGATCACTTTGGATCTGGCACTGGTAAATAGGCAGGTCCGCCTGGAAGTGCAAAGGCATATTTACTTGGTACATTTTTCGCCATGTGCCACTACCGTAGGCATATTAGTCGATGATACTACAACGAGCATAATTATCGATTCTCGTTACTAGCCTTTTATTTCAACCACAGTCAAATTTCCTTACCTTACAGTGTAACTGGGGACATGAAAGAAAAGACTCAAAACACATCTTATCTACCACGCCCAGAGGACAGATTCACAGATCTCTTCTCAAATATAAGTTCTTACATATCTGATCTCTATCATCTTCCCGTTATCTTTTCCGGGTCTGGGGAAGAGGGGAGGGGGGAAGTGGGCGTTCAACTGACAAATTTTAAAATCAGGCCTTGATGTCGTTCCAGCTGATTTCAGATGTTGGCGGTTGACATTGATGTCAAGGAGGCATCACCTGTCACGTTGAAAAACACCGCGTTACCCCAAAGGCGATACGGCGTGGTCAGTGAAATAGACTCTTTGATGCTATTGGTTATGCAGTTCTATGACGTATACGAGGTCTCCTTTATCACGGAGGTCTCACCCATCTCGCTACAGGCGTTGTCTCTTTTGCTGTGCAGTTGCTTTTTGAAATTAATAACAGGCTGGGCATGAGGTAACGCCGGCGAGGGTGAACTAAAATTTACACGAAGACGACTGGGGACGAGTCAGGCCGGTGTAGAGGAGGTCAGCAACATGTAGCGATCACATGACGACATCGTGACTGTTCTCATGAGTACCTTGTTTTAAAAGTCGAAAACCAGAAGTCGGAAGCCCCTCATCAGCTTTCGCACCCGCGGAGTTAACACTTCTAATACACGAGAGAAAAAAGGGGATCATCGTTAAAGAATGAATGAGCTGAAGACAGGAGTAGAAAACCCCTGCGTCGAAGTGCAGATGGAATCCAAACCAACAAATAACGCAGGAATCTATTTGGAGGTGGTAAATGGAGAAGCTCCTGCAAAACAACAAACAAGCCTTGAGTATCAAGGTCCCGCTACCAAGAAAAATCCCTTATCACCAATAGATCCTGCACATTCAGACAAATTTCTTAAACTTCGGCGAATGTTGTGGATTGTTACTGCTGTGGCTTTCATTTCTCTCGTGACTTCTGCTGCAACTCTCATCTTAGCTTTGAGAGTGAAAAATTCTCAGAATGTTTCGACTTCCCCTACGATTGTAAAGCACGAGGTAAGAGAATCGGCACCATTTTTAGATGCGTGAATTCCTAGTCTTCCTCCGGTGATGTATACTATTACGCTGGGACAAAGTCGAGGGAAACACAAGGACTCGGGGAAAACAAAACTAACTGGTTTCGCGAAGGGCCTGACATTAAGTGTTTTGTTATACCTCTAGACTTTCACTTCAACAGCAACAAAAGAATAACCGCGGCGAATCAAAACAGTCGACTCGGTACTTACAGCAACACAAAGTTAATTCTTAAAACCCGGCTGAATATGATTTACAAAGTACTTTCCTTATCTTATCTGCATCTTTATCGTCCACAAGCGGCTCTTTCTCTTCTGGGATAACTTTGAAACTCGTTGTTTCTTAGCTTGAGGCTTACGCCACTTAGCATCATGCTTTGATCACGTGCTGTAATGTATCCTGTGCGGGGTACAAATGTATCACGATCGGACGATCGGGATACACAAAAATCAACCACTGGTAGTCCCTGTTTAGTCGAGAGAAAGTCTAGGAATATAACAAACTTAAAGCATATGTTATCTTGGTAAATTACTTTGCTCATTTCAGTATTACGAGAATTTTCTTATGCTACTACGGCTAAATTTGGGAAAGATGCAACCGCTTTGGTACACAAAGATATTTCAGTAATGGTGTGAGCAAAAGGAATTTTGGCATTTTGAAATTTTCCAAACAGGAAAACAAAACTTTATCGTCGGCCCGATTTTCTCGAGTTTCAATCTAGTTCCTTTCTGCCCGTCCTTTGTCAAACTGAGTCTATTTCTAAGGCCTGGAATAAACACCACAAGGTTTCACGGGCTGCAGCAAAACAATCCTACACAAGTTTTTTCCTAGTCAGTCCCCGGCCCCGGGGCTGGTGTATTCGTCGTCAGGTATATCATGTACTGCCCACCCCTTTTACCTGAGGACTTTCACAATGAGAAAACTATCAGAATTCAAAGAAACAGTGCTCTTGATTCCTTTTCAATTTCCCGTGAATTTACAGCTAAAACGTTTCTGTCTGTGCGACAAGAACCAGTCAAGTACGAATTTGAAGCGATTGTCAGAATGCCTTGTTGGCCACGAACTAGCACAGAATTTAAATTTGGTCACACTGTACTTCCGAGAAAACAGTGAAATTACCCATCACAAATTTAGGAATTAGATGTAGAAATAGATGAGGACATAGTAAAAATATATATATAATGGTAAACTTCCTCTGTTTAAAATCTACTAATTAATGAAGGCTCTCAGTTTCCGAAAATCTAATGGCCCATTTTTTTTATATAATCTAAAAACTTTCAATTTTAAGGCCTTTTTTCACATGCAAATGAGGCATACCTCATCCAAAATGCCAAAAGTAAAAATCATGTCCTGTTTTGCCACACTTGGTCCTAGCCAGTTTCAGTTGCTCATATTTACCGGAGGAACTCTTATCATGGCGGTCTTGTAACCTGCCACTTTTAGTATCCTCTGAGATCAGTAAGATTGTACGTATCGTAAACAACATCATTTGTCCATCCCTTTTAAGGACGAAAAAACTGGCAAATCAACTCGAGGAGATTAAGATCCAAAACACGTGAGGATTGTTTCAATAAGCTAAGATAAGGTGCATATGTTTGGCTAGAGTTTTAACGTTTCCCTCAAAAATCTTTGGGTTAAACACAACATTACTAGATGTATTACCGCGAGTCACCAAAGCCTACAAAATGATATTTGCCAACAGCTGAACAGTAGAAAAAAGATAGTCTATATTTACAGAAATATAAGTATATGTGATGTTCTACTCTTCAACCCGCTTTACCAAGGCACAGACCGGACAGAATGATTGGCACGAAAGGTTCCTGTGCGAGGTGCAGCCCCTACCCAGGCCAATCCCACAGCACATCAAAGTTAAACAAGTGTAAATCAGTAACCAAAAGACTAAACGGACGAAAACTCTCTTTTTTTCTTTTGGTTTAGAAGCAGCAGTGGAACGAATAAGCATTTTTTCCGATAGAGAATAGGTACATAATTGCAAAGGAATGGGCTCCTGATAATTGTTCGTATAGTCATAGAATGATGAAATTAAGCCTCGTTGGTGGATAGCTAAGGATAGTTTAGGGATAGTCGCTTTAGGGATAGTCTATGACGTCACCCATTGTTTTAACCCAGAGAAAACACGAAAGAAACTACTACAGAGAAACTACTCTCCACTAGACTATCCTCTGCATTTGACGAGGTGATCTAGACGCATGGTTGACAACAAACAAATAGCAAGCTTCAGCTTTCAAGTTCTCAGCCCCAAATGTTAACCTTTTTTGTCGACTTAAAAAGAATTTCAATTAGTACACAACATTAAAAAATTGTCAATATCAAACTTAGCTTTCCCAGCGCACTCGCCACAGGTAACAATGCCCTATAGTTTTTCTGTTATAGGGAGATAAACAAAGATAAACCGAGGGACTTTTAGTAGCAGGGTAACAATTTCGATGAACTTAAGTTGCATGAACTAAAGTAAAATTCAATTTCCTCTGTTACAAGCATACGCTCGAGACCAAATTACAAGACCTCGAGAAGATGTTGAACTCTACACGACAGGTTGCAGAAGAAGCGTCTTGGAAAAATTTGACGGCGCTGTGGTCCGCAGAGAATAATGCAAAGAAAGAAATTGACAAGGTGTGGACTGCGATGAACGAAACAGGAAAACAACTTGACGAGAAACTAGTGAAAATACGACACAACCTTACTGGACAGGTAACTGAACCGTTGTAAAGTTACGACTCATAACTTCCCGCTGAGTCGGCACAAGCAATTTTTTTCGTAGGCGGATCAATGGCTAAAGTTATGGTTTATTTAGTAAAACTTGGCAAATTTTGATTCTGTACCAGTCCTTCTGCCATAGTAAAGAGAATGGCACTGAATCAAACTTCGGCAACAAAAAGTAATTTTGATCAGGTGATTTGTCGCGTGACCAAAAGGTAGAAGAATACTTCAAGATTTTCATTCAGGGAAAAAATTTTACTCCGCTGCTCTACATCAGTTAATAACGAACATTCAGATAATCCAGCTGTGTAGTGTGCTTCATCACATGAAGCAGTATAGGCTATGAACTGGATACGCAGAACTTAAATTGATCATGATATGCACGGAAGAATTGTCCAGCAAGATATTTTAGGTATATATGCAAGCTTTCCAAACTTCCCAAGTCCTTCAGTATATGCTCCCCGCATGTAAATGATGACTTTTTAAAAATGTAAGTGAACTTTTACATACAGTGTAGCGAGTAAAATGCCTTCGGCGAAATTATAATTTTTTTTTATAATAAGATCTCCTCACTGCGCGCAGTATCTCACTCGCGTACTAAGGAAAAACAAGGATATAACTTGTGATTATTGCATGATAACTAGCTTGAGCGAATGCAGTAACACTTCGCTTGCTGTTCTCAGATTAACAACGTAGGCAAAATTGCCGGACCCGTTGGACCTCCGGGACTCAATGGAAGTCAAGGACCCGCGGGGCCTCCGGGGCCCAAAGGAGCTGGAAACTTCAGCACGTGTCAGTATAAAGTAAAGACAGAAGCTCGTGGACGAGATCAAACGGCCTATGTGGACGAGCCCACTGTAAGTCACTACAAGTGTAAGGTGTGATACTTGTTTTCTTACTTTGTCAGGCAGCCCCGTTCAATTGCACCTGACTTAAAGAGGCTACAGTATGTCACGACGATATTCCTCGTATATTTTATGCTAATTCTGTGTTGAAGTCATCACTTAATACTTTAACAAATTTTACCAGGGGGCACTAACCATGATACTTTTTTGTGATTTTTGCGGGCGAAAGGAAACAGTTTGAATACCTAAATAAAATCTTAAATAACAAAACTGGTTTAAGCTTGCACAAGGCTAATGAGATAATTTGTATGCTTCTTATCCAGTTCGTGGACAGAAGATGATTATTGTTCTTATTAATTTTTAGTTATTCTTTTTACATTTAGTGAAAAAGTACAACTCCCTATTTTTTTTCTCCCTTATATTTTAAAAGTTGCCTTCACTAGAAAAAGATGCGAGAGCGTCACACGGCTAAGGAGAAGCACAAAAAACTAACCCTCTATATTGTCTTGTTTCTCTTTCCAGGGCCATATTATAATAGCAGCAACCTGCTCTACAAACTACGCCGAAGATATTGAGTTTAGATCCGCCATTGTGGCCCAACAAAAAAGGCGATATATATGCGACTACAAGGGCGTCAAGAATAGTAGGCAAAACCCTAAGAACTGCTCCCTCCACTACTGGATATGCTTAAAAACGTAATTACGAACAAATCTACAGCAGAAACAGTTTGAGGTAATTTTCAAGCGCAAAAGAAAAGACGCCTTGTCTTTCGAAAATGACATATCTGACGCTTTAAACGATTCCTTTCTACCTCCCCTTTCCTATCTAAATTAGTTCCAAGAGTTTCGATAAACGGCTCTTATTTTAATAATTTCTTAATATGCGAAAAGTTCGTCTTTATAAAGAAATTCAACATTGCAAGGTTAATTAAAATCTCCTTTAATCTGGACACCTTTTGTTTAGAGGTTGGTAATTTATCGAAAAATTAGACGCTATAATAAGTTGCGCGCCTATCTAACTTTACAAAGGAGGTGTGAAAAAATGGTTAGAGGAAATACTGCAGCGTTTTATATTGCGAAACTTGAGCGAAGTCATATCAGTCATGTTTATCTGTTCCAGGCTATGTTGTGGTCAGTTACAAATGTTAGGTCAGGTGAGCTTAAATCATAACAAAGCACTAATCTATTCTCAGATAATTTTTTAATTACTGGAAAAAAGAAAGATTTCGAATGATCCTATCCAAGAGGAAAAAAAGCAGATTTGATTTTTGGTCACTCAACTTCCGTAAAGCTTCTTCCAACAGAACTTCGATGTTGACTGAAATTTGCAGCACTTACTGAAACGAACGATCGAAGAAAAATTTCAGCAAAAAATCAAAGCGTGTAACAAGACCATTGTAGAAAATTTTACTTCTCCAGACAAATAAAAAAAAAATAAAAATAAAAATTCTTTCAACATACGAGTTCGTAACTTTGATTTCAGCTATTCATATAACTATAATGGATTACAGCTTTTAAATTAATTTAAGACGAACATGGTCAAACAATAGATCAGTTCACAATTAACGACTGAAGATGGTTAAACTAAAACAGCAATGTTCTTGCAATAATACATGTATTGGGACTCTTTAGAACTGAGACGGAAATATCTTAGCCTAGTTCAAACGTATAAGATTATATTTGGTTACTGTGATATCAATTGCCATCATTACTTTGATATTATTGGAATAACTCGAACTAGAAGTAAGCATGAGTATAAAATAAGGCCTAAAGTTGCCCGTACAAATTATTTTAAATATTCATTTTTTCATAGATATATTAATGATTGGAACTCTTTGACTTCTGAAGTAATGTCATCTCCTAGCCTTCAGTCTTTTAAAGTTTCACTGATTAAGTACCTTCGCTCATAATTTACCTTAAAATATTAGGCATAGTGTCTTTAATATAAGTTTATGCATTATTATTAGGCATCTAGGTTTATAATTTATAGTCTAATTTATAGTCTTTTAATATAAGTTTATATATTAATTAATTATTTTTTTTTCTTTTTTTTCTTTTTTCTTTTTGGAAGGTATGTCTTAGCATGGGAATTTGGTTTCCCCCTACTACCGTCCTGTTAACCATTTTTGTATTTTTGTTCGGTTGTATATGTTAGTATTAGTTCATTTGTATCAGTTATGTATGGTTACGAACTGTGATTAAAGATTAAAGATTAATATGTATCAAGGTTGAATTTTAAAAAAACATATTGTACACATGAGATGTATTTTAAGAGATAATAAATTATTTTGTGACTTCCACGTACTGGCTTTTACCTTTAACAACGCTATGAGCTAGGGTTGAGGGCTACGGAGATCCTCCCATATATTTTTTTCGAATACCCGTCCGCATTAGGTTATCACTTTCAGGCGAACAAGCGGATATACCGAAAACGTTTCTTTTTTGTGAGAACAGGCTTAAGTCTCGTTTCTCTCTTTAAACTTTCTCAACTTTGCTCAAAGTTTTTCCTGATGGTAGAACTAGGTAGGTGAGTAAGAGCTGCGGGTAAATCATTCCTGACCGTGGTTACAACTTCTTAATGACGCATAAGGCGTCCCCTGGAAAACCTATAGCAATTATTACATTTCTTAGATCCCTCCCACCCCCAAGATCACTTTGGATCTGGCACTGGTAAATAGGCAGGTCCGCCTGGAAGTAAAAAGGCATATTCACTTGGTAAGGTTTTTCGCCATGTGCCGCTAGCGTGGCATATTAGTCGATGATACTACAACGAGCATAATTATCGATTCTCGTTAATAGCCTTTTATTTCAACCACAGTCAAATTTCCTTATCTTACAGTGTAACTGGGGACATGAAAGAAAAGACTCAAAACACATCTTATCTACCACGCCCAGAGGACAGATTCACAGATCTCTTTTCAAATAAAAGTTCTTACATATCTGATCTCTATCATCATCCCCTTATCTTTCCCGGGTCTGGGGAAGAGGGGATGAGGTGGGGGGTTCAACTGACAGATTTTAAAATCAGGCCTTGATGTCGTTCCAGCTGATTTCAGATGTTGGTGGTTGACATTGATGTCAAAGAGGCCTCACCTGTCACGTTGAAAAACACAGCGTTACCCCAAAGGCGTTGTCTCTTTTGCTGTGCAGTTGCTTTTTGAAATTAAAAACAGGCTGGGAATGAGGTAACGCCGGCGAGGGTGAACTAAATGTCCGCTCTGAAAGTGCCGTGTAGAAGCTGACTCGTCCCCTGTCGTCTCTCACAACCCCTTCCTAGTGGCGCGCGGGATGTCACCCCCAGTTCTCGCCGCGCGCTTTACGCGAAGACGACTGGGGACGAGTCAGGCCGGTGTAGAGGAGGTCAGCAACATGTAGCGATCACATGACGACACCGTGACTGGTCTCATGAGTACTTTGTTTTAGAAGTCGAAAACCAGAAGTCGGAAGTCCGTCTGATAGCGAACGAGCGACTCCAATTACAGGTCGGAGCCATTCCTGTGTTTAATTTGCTCGCACTACGTTGAAACTTCCCGTAGGATAAAAATAGTTATTATCTAAAAAGTTAAAGCTTAACTTTCAGCCACTTGTCACACTGGACAACGAATTATCTGTATGGAAATTTTTTATCGTCCCTGTTTCAAGTCTTGTATAAAACGCGGTCTATTTTTCGGACAGGTGGCCCTATTTTCCCAGACAATCGCACACGCAATGTTTTGCTCCCTTTTTTCAATTTGTCCTCGCTTTTATGACAAAAATGGGAAACTTATGTGGAGACTGTCGTCGAAACTTAATGGTTTTCTTACACAAACTGAAATTTCTAAATGGTGGTGTCATCTCTAGCCCATCACAGTTTATGTAAAAAGTGAACGGAAATAGCGCGCGACAAAGTAGAATATTTGCAAAACCTAACAAAGCATAATAACTTTCATGAAAAATTATAAATGTACTGGGTTTTTTTAAATAGTTCTAAGAGGAATGGGGAATAAAAACGTTGTCGCCATTTAGACGGCTATAGACAATTTTTTGACACATCACCTGCCTGCCTGGTAAAAGCCTCTCACGAGAAGCAAATATTTCATTAGTTTAAGTTGTTAAGGAGAGCGCAGTGACCTCATCTGACTTTTAAAGCAAATGAGCAATGATAGGCAATTGCGCTAATTGTGGAATCCCCGAACAAATTATTTACGTAAATTACTACTCTACTACGACACAGCTAGTTTCTGAGAAGACGCTATTGGATGACTGACTAAAACTAGCAACTTTTGCTTCTTGATTGTTTACACACTACGCGTTGTCTACATTAATCGCAAAGCGGTTAAATGCAGGTTAAATTATCTTTAGATTCATATCGCTGGTTATCGTTTGCAACGCAAGCTGCAAATTCAGAAAACAAAAGCAAAAGGAAAACGTAGTAAACGGTGTGTGAGGACGCTGCACCAGCAAAACCACCAAGGTCAGTGAGTGTGAGTTCAAATAGATGTTGTTTTAACTGAATTTAAACTGCTTATTTCTATTTCTTTACTATTGACACAGGGACAATCGAATGAGGCCTAAAAAACAAAATTTGGTTTTGTTTCCGCTCTGGAAGTTCATAAAACCGACCACCATTCTAATGAAAGTGAAAATGACGCAAATGCTCTACATAGTTTCCTTTGAAATTTAGTTCAAATTTTGTGACTACAACATATTTTCCTACGCAAAAATTTTAAAATAGTCGTGTTTTACAATTAAAAGCAAGAATTTATGTTCCCTGTTCCCGAAGATTGGAGATCAGCTGACATTGTCCCACTTCATAAGAAAGGTTCTAAACACTTGAGGGAGAATTATCGGCCAATTTCGCTTACATCCATGATATGCAAAATCAGCGAAAAAATTGTACGCGATAGGTTAACGTCATTTTGGCAAGACTATAACGTGATAAACAAAAACCAATTTGGTTTTTTGCAGGGTAGGTCTACTGTGACCCAATTACTCTCTACTTTTCATGACTTCGCCAAATCTAGGAATTCATCTGTAGCAACAGATGTTGTATTTCTTGATCTCGCAAAGGCTTTTGATAGTGTTCCTCATGAGCGTCTACTCATAAAGTTATATAGCCTCGGTATTGAGAGCAAACTTCTTAACTGGTTGAGGCATTTCCTCACGTGTAGAAAGCAACGAGTTGTTGTAAGAGCGACTTTTTCTGATTGGGCACCTGTGATATCTGGTACCCCACAGGGAACTATTCTTGGTCCAATTTTATTCCTATCATATATAAATGATATCGTTGATAGTGCATGTCTCTTCAAAAATTAAATTATTTGCGGATGACACTAAGATTTACAGAGAGCTTCGCAACCCTTGTCTCGATGAACAATACCTTCAAACTGATTTGAATAATCTTGGTAAATGGGCGAAAAAATGGCAACTTCGTTTCAATGAGGAAAAGTGTGAAGCAATGCGAATAACGCATTCTCGTGACAAATCGACTACGAATTATAAACTAGGTACGGCCTTAAAAGATGTCAAGAGCTTTAAAGATCTTGGAATTATTATATCAAAAGATCTTACTTGGAGTGAACATATTAGTACCATGGTGA